AAATTGGTTAAAAAGTTGAGAAAATATTTTAAATTAGTGTAATAAAATGTGTAAGTTGGTAATGACTAATGAGTAATGAGTTAAGTTACTTGATACGCTGGCCCGAACAACCCGACACCCGACCCGCCCGCAACCCGCCCGACCCAAACCCCGATGAACTCGCAACCCGATTTGCCCGCAACCCGATTGAATCCGAACCCGATGAACCCGCAACCCGACTAACCCGCAACCCGTTTGAACCCGAACCCGATGAACCCGATGAACCCGCAATCCGACTAACCGGCAACCCGTTTGAACCCGAACCCGATTGAACCCAGCCCGAACCCGCCCGATTGACACCTATAGGTAGGAGAGAAATACAAGGGTTAGTTTTGTACCCGGCCGAAAGGATAAAGACAGTTCTTTTTTGTCAGAACAGAAGCGTGGCAATCGATCATCCAAACCAACACGAACGAACACAAATTTAACGTGGTTCACTAACACAATGTGTGCTAGCTAATCCACGGGCAGAGGGGAACAAATTTCACTGATTTGAGGAGAGTACAGGTTACAAACCAAATTCCAAACGGACAAACCAAACAAACTAACCTGACTGACCTTACTACAGATTAGGGAGATGAAGAGTATTTATAGAACTCTTCTCCTAATCCCAAACAGAAAACCAAACACCTTTTACCAAACATACAGAAAACGAAACACCTTTTCCCAAACATACAAGGAAAAGGTCAAAACAAAACTCAAACACAAACCCAAACAAAATAGGACTAAAACACAAAACAAACCCAATTCAAATTCAAGTCATATTCTAACAATCTCCACCTTGACTTGAATTCTCTCTCAAATACCAGATGTACCAGACGCAACCAAAGTTGCCAGATGTACCCAGACGCGACCAAAGTTGCTAGATGTACCCAGACGCGATACATATCGCCAAACGTATCCAAATGCGATCGAAACTGCCAAACTCAAACGCAATCAAGATTGCCAGACATATCCAAATGCGATTCATATCGCCAGACGAAACGCGATGCAAATCGCCAAACTCAGATGCAATCAAAATTGTCAGACGTACCAAACTTCTCCAAATCAGCTGTACCAGAATCTCCCCTGCCTCCAAATGCCCCTAAGGGCGATCAACAAATCAAAACATGCAGCAAGTCCAACCCATGTTGGGACTTGCCATGCAGAACCAGCTTGGTGTTATTTCCGTCCATAACACCAACATCAAATTTACTGCTAACTCCAAGCCTGCAACTCCAAATTGACTTCTCGATCTTCATACTGATAGCAACCATTCTTACTATCAAACAAACTCCAACCAAAATTCTCACCAAACAAACAAACGAGACCAAATCCAAATCTCCACCAAAAGCAAAACTTCAGTCTAGCGCCAAATTCCCAAAACCGCAACCAAAGGCTCTGATACCACTTGTCATAACCGGGGAACTCAATTAGTACGATATTGTCCGCTTTGAGCCAAGCCCGCACGGTTTTACTCTTGGGTGTCCTCCTCAAAAGGCCTCGTACTAATGAGATTGGTGGACACTAATATACAAGGGTTCCTTCCCTTGTATAACCGATGTGGTACTTGGATTGTCCCATAACAATCCTCCCCTCAAGCCAAGGACCACGAACATCGTGTCCTCACCTCAACGATTAACTTGATCCGCCAGACACCTTGTACGATGAGCTTCTCGTACAAGGATTTTCCCAAATGCGGAACTCTCTTTGATCCGCCAAACAGACGTGGATCGCACATGGATCCACTAGACAAACACGGACCTCCCTCGATCCGCCAAACCAGATGTAGCCCAAACGTGGATCTCTCGTGGATCCACCAAACATACGCGAATCACAAACCCTGAGGTCAGCGAATGAGGGTCCACCGAACTGACGTCCACCGCCCCGAACCGAACCAGGCTCTGATACCACTTGTCAGAACAGAAGCGTGGCAATCGATAATCCAAACCAACACGAACGAACACAAATTTAACGTGGTTCACTAACACTATGTGTGCTAGCTAATCCACGGGCAGAGGGGAACAACTTTCACTGATTTGAGGAGAGTACATGTTACAAACCAAATTCCAAACGGACAAACCAAACAAACTAACCTGACTGACCTTACTATAGATTAGGGAGATGAAGAGTATTTATAAAACTCTTCTCCTAATCCCAAACAGAAAACCAAATACCTTTTCCCAAACATACAATGAAAAGGTCAAAACAAAACCCAAACACAAACCCAAACAAAATAGGACTAAAACACAAAACAAACCCAATTCAAATTCAAGTCATATTCTAACATTTTTAATTACACTAAGCTAGGGAGAAGGATCTCAATTGTCTATATGTAATTTTCCTCACAAAAAGAATAAAGTATTTGATCAAACCCAAAAGGGGCAATGGATAATGTCTCATTGAGCTAAGAAAAGAAAAGAGGAAAAGAAGTACCTTGCTTTTTGGGTCCATTCAAATGCGCCTTAGGAGAGATGGTGGGTGCTACATTACATACTTAACCAGACGAGCCTCCAGCCCATTTTGGCTTCCCCATGTCATCCTTCCTTTGTCATTACATGAAACCCAGCGCAACTCTTTCTTTCAACTGGTTGCATGCTTCTCACAACACCTTCCACGCCCGCTGCTGCGCGCGTCTGTACCAGATTGCTCGTCTTTCTCCCTGCCCAACCAAATGTAGAAACCATACAGCAAGCAAGCGAGATTGCTCGTCTTTCTCCCTGCTTTCCCTGAATCAAGCTAGCTACGCTTTTTGCTTTCTCTTTTCCTTTTCCTTCCAAATTATGCATTTTAGAGGGCTTCGTCGAACAGCTTTCTCAACCAATCCTTCCCAGCGCCAGTAGGACCTTCCCTTCCCTCACCTCAGTCCAGCAGACAACCATTCCTATCATCCGTACTCACAGGACTTGAACTTCCCCTCCTATCCTTCCTGCCCTTTCATCACTTCCCTCACCTTTCCATGTTTCCAGGTTGTGGATTTTGCTCCCACACGGTGTTAAAAGGCTATGTGCCTAATTCCATTCCCACAATGCAAGCAATCAGACGATAATATCAATTAATCTATTCAACACGGGATAATCTCGTTTGTGACAAAGGAGAAAAACAGTAAATCCCTAACAAACTCGATTCAACAGTACTGATAACAGAATCAATCCCTAAACAGAGAATCTAATTAAAAAGGAAAGAAATCAAGAGCAGGAGCTACGCCCATATAAACTTGAGTTCCTGGCTGCAAGCCCCAACTCATGCTATCCAGACAATTAAACCGAACCCAATCCAGAGACTCCCAATGAACAAACCAGTTCGAACTGAGTCAAGGAAACTGTTACCCTTCTCCTTCCTCGACAGGCCTTTAAATAGGATTCAGAAGCCAGTCCTTTGTCTCTCATCTTCAATGCTGATTACCGTTTGATTGAATTGATGATGGTGATGACCGATGCGCAGGGAGCTCTCAGGAGAATGGTTGACTGTCTTGATGATGCTGAAGAAAGCAAGGAATGATGGTGAAGGACGCGTAGTGGGTTCTTGACGAGGACAGAGACGATGCAGCTGCTTTGTATGGGCTTATGTGTAAGTGGGTCTGAGTCGGCCTTTTGAATCTTCAAGGAGGACAAGGAAAGGCCCAACACACGACACCGCTACCGAACCCTCTTCCAGACACACCATCGCCCATGAATCATACTCTATTTGCCTGCTCAGCTCGATTAGGGCCATCACGACCCTTGAGGGCCGCTTGCTTTGGTCGTTGCCCTCTCCCTGCTCAGTTCTGCGCCCTATTCCATTTTCGTGTTCCTCGCCACATCATTCTCGATCCAGTTCTCCGAGCTCGACCTCAATACCCTCTCATCTTCGTCTTCTCCGATCTCATGGGGAGGGAGATGAACCCCCAAGCCAGATTCTAGGGGTCCAGGAAAGGTTTGCGTGAAGAGAAGAAGCCCCTGGTCTTTTCCATGGACAAAACGTTCTTCTTCGCCCAAGACTTTAGCAAATTAGATGGCCTGTAGAACGACGGTCGTTTATGACTCCCTCTGGTGAGTTTGTTTTTGCACATGTCTTTCATATATTCGTTTTTTTTCTAAACAAAAGGGCCTTCTAATCTATTGTTAGGGGAAATATCGATGGCGAGTCAAAAGACTTGTCCCAGATCAATTATATCTAATTCTCTTCACGACTCTCTCAATTCTACACCAAGAGGTCACTTAATTGTCTAATTGTACTTCGCTTGATTGATTTATTGCTGGTGAAGCGTTTGATTAAATGAGAGTTGTATATTCGGTGTCACAGTTGGCTCAATGACAGAGGATCATGTGGGGAGAAAAGTTGTTATGCTTTCACTTGGGTTGCTCGCTCAATCCAATAGTTGTGGAGTTTTATGATAGCTATGTAGCTTTGTTCTTATCATTGCTGATGTGAGTATAATGCAACGCTTACTTTTCATTTTCCGCATCCTTCCTTTTAATTAGCAGTTTCATGATTTCCTTTGGTCTTGGACAGGGTAGGCTCATAAGCAAGGACACGAGGAGCATTGTCTGATTTGATCACCGGTGCCGGCTGACAACAAAGAGTACGAGAAGTCGTTTGGGACTATTTCGGGTTTGATTTGCCTCGAGGTTGTGACGGATATAAGGGACCGATCGGAGGCTCAGCATCGTATGGAGTAGTAATAAGAGGTTCACTTTCTCTTTGTCTCTATATCTTTTCAGTTTTATTGTGACCAAAAAAACTTTTCAGTTTAATTTCTCCGGATCTCTCATTCTTATTGTTCTTGTTGAGTGAAGCTCGACAGCGACCATACTTAAAGCTTCATTCCATCATTAGAATTGTGTAACATGGCGTTGAGAGCAACTATCATGATAAAGGTACAGCACCAAGAGCAGGATTCGAAACAATGACCTGCTTCTCATGATACTGCTTGAAGAAGCTTCTTACGGCATCGTTTGATGCCCAACTCTGTATAGATCAGCATAACAGTAAATAGCAGTAGAGTTACAGTTTTAGCTTCCTTTGTAAAAATGTTTTTTGTTCGTTTGTACACATATATTGCCTTGTGGCTGTGAAAGAGAAAGGTATCGATTTCTCCAGTTCCTTTGTGTTCAGAAACCTCTTATGGTATCAGAGCCTGCTTCTACCCCTCTTTCACCTAGTCCTCCTCCCAAAACCCCTTCTCCACCTACTGCTCCCACTCCCCTTTCACCTAGTTCTCTTCCTACTGGTTCTATTTCATCTTCACCATCCTCTAGTGATACTTCCAGCTTGTCTCCCCCTATAATCCAAGCTACCCCAGCCTCATCTTCCACTAGTCCTAGCCCTAGTTCCCCTCTACGTAGGTACCCAGATCGGGTCAGGCAAGCTCCACAGTATCTAAGTGATTATGAGTGTCAGTTACATAGTGTATCTGCTGCTAAATCTCCCAAGTTTCCCATGACTTCTTATATGTCTTATGATTGTCTTACCCCTGATTTCCAAAGCTTTGTGCTTAATATATCTCAAGTGCAAGAACCCCGGACTTTTGAGGAGGCATGTACTCAACCTTGTTGGCAACAAGCTATGAACTCAGAAACTAGTGCTTTGATTGACAATCATACTTCGGACATCGTGTCATTACCTCCATGGAAGAAGGTAGTGGGAAACAGTTGGGTCTATAAAATCAAGTTTAATCCAAATGGGACAATAGAGAGGCATAGAGCCCGACTCGTTGCCAAAGGTTTCACACAAAAGTATGGGGTGGATTACTTGGAAACTTTCTCTCCAGTGGCAAAGTTGAATACAGTGAAGACTTTGTTGGCTGTTGGAGCTATAAAAAACTGGTTTATGGATCAACTTGATGTTAGTAATGCATTTTTGAATGGGGATCTTGATGAAGAAGTGTACATGAGTCTTCCTCCTGGTTTTCCTATACCCGAGTCTATTCCGAATCCAGTTTGTCGGTTAAACAAGTCTTTGTACGGTTTGAAACAGGCAAGTCGTCAGTGGTACTTCAAATTAACTTCAGCATTGCTTGAATATGGTTTTTCACCATCTCATTCAGATCACAGCATGTTTGTGAAGGGTTCGGGTGATTCATTCTTGGTAATTCTTGTATATGTAGATGATATGATAGTGGCTGGACCAGATCAACACTTGGTGTCTTCTGTTAAAACCTTTCTGCAGGGACAATTCAAGATAAGGGATTTGGGACCCTTGAGGTATTTCTTGGGGCTGGAAATTGCTCGAAACACATCTGGTTTGATGGTTACACAAAGAAAGAATTGTTTAGAACTCTTAAAGGATGCCGGATTGACTGATTGTAAGCCTGTACGCACACCCATGGATATCAAGGTATGGTTTACTACTTCAGATGGGGAGCCTTTAAAAGATATCACACAGTTTAGGAGCCTTATTGGACGATTGCACTACTTGACGATTACCAGACCAGATATATGTTTCGTCGTGCAGCAGCTTAGTCAATTTCAAATGGCTCCAACAACTGTACACCTTAAGGCAGCAATTCGAGTTTTGAAGTACCTTAAAAACTCACCTGGACAAGGTCTGTTTTTCTCCTCTTCTTCTTCTCTTCAGTTATATGGATATTCCGACTCTGGGCTATCTGTCCGGACACACGTCGTTCGATCTCGGGTTATTGCACTATGCTTGGAACTTCTTTAATCACATGGAAGGCAAAGAAACAAGACACAGTGGCTAAATCATCTTCTGAGGCCGAATATCGAGCACTATCTAAATTAACTTCAGAGGTTGTTTGGCTTAAGTCTTTGCTGCAGGAACTTGGAGTGCCTCATTCAGGTCCTGCACTGTGTTATTGTGACAATCGTTCTGCTCTCCACATTGCTGCAAATCTCGTGTTCCATGAAAGAACGAAGCATATCGATGTCGATTGTCATTTCATAAGATATCATCTCCAATCGAACCTCATTTCTCTTGAACATGTGACGACTGAAGATCAAGTTGCAGATCTCTTTACAAAAGCTCTCAGTCGACATCGAATTGATTATCTGTTGAACAAGTTGGGAGTACAAACTTTGTACTCGCCGACTTGAAGGAGGCTATCATGATAAAGGTACAGCACCAAGAGCATGATTCGAAACAATGACCTGCTTCTCATGATACTGCTTGAAGAAGCTTCTTACGGCATCGTTTGATGCCCAACTCTGTATAGATCAGCATAACAGTAAATAGCAGTAGAGTTACAGTTTTAGCTTCCTCTGTAAAAATGTTTTTTGTTCGTTTGTACACATATATTGCCTTGTGGCTGTGAAAGAGAAAGGTATCGATTTCTCCAGTTCCTTTGTGTTCAGAAACCTCTTAGCAACATGACAAATGAAGAAAAGGAGTTGCAAATCGAGCCTCGTAGAATTCATAGTGGTTACAGAAAGCTCTATCTGGGAGAGGACAAGAATGGTAACAAGCTGTTGGGTACAAGAGTTGTCTCCCCAAAAGGAAATTAACCAACTAGCAAACAAGAAAAGAAAGATATTTAAGTAAAACCAGCAGCCTGTCAATTAAAACAGAGGAAGCAACAAATAAGCGGACAAGATAGTGACTAGTGAGCTGCAAGTTCAAACATAACGGGTGTTTTTCCACACATGGAAAGCAGATCAATCAAGGGCGAACGGGCAAGGAAAGTAGTGATTCAATTCAAACGTCTACGGCCTACAGAAGTGTATAAATAAAGGGTAGATAGAAAAGAGAATGCAGACTTTTCGGGAGAAAAAAAAAATCAAAGATGCAAAGGGGATTTGCGAGTGATTTTGAGAGAAAAGTCGGCACAAGAATCGGGGAGATTTCTGGGTATAGGTATTGGGCAATACCTAGGTTCTATCAGCTGGGTAGTTGATAGGTTAGTTTTGTCGATTCAACGGGGAGCTAGTCGACTGGGTATCTGAGAGACTTTGTAACTTTGTGAGCTTCAACGAAAAACATCATAGTGGAACGCCAGAGATTGCAAACTGCGAATCAGTGGCCGTGGACTAGTCAGGGTTAGGATCATTAATCGCCTAACACTGGAAACCACGTAAAAATCTCGTGTGTACCGTGTCATCTAGTTTCATTGTGTTCTGGGAGTGGAACTCTGTTCTTGTTATGTTCTTGTGATCTGAAATATAGAGCCGCTGCCGATCCGTGGAAGAAGGAAAGCTAGAGCCAACTTCAGTTAAAACGCAGCACCTCAAAGTTTTTATGCAGGATATCGTTTGGGCTCAATTAAGAGAATAAGAAGAAACCTTTTGGGCTTAAGTTTCAAGCCCAACCAAAAGTGATCCAGTCGTCTCATTCAACAAACACAAAAGCTAGCCCTGTTTACTTCCATTTTCGTTTCGTTTTCTGTTCTCATGTCATAAATTTGGCAACCGAAACGAGAAAACTTGTTTATTTTTTATTCTGTTTTTTATTCGTTTCCAATTATGAAAACATAAAGTGGCAACTTCCTGCTGTTTTCGAAAACAATAAAATATTATTTTCACTTGTTTACACCATCTATTTTCTAAAAAACAGAAAACAGAAATGAAAGTAAACAGACACTTAATAGTTAATACCACCAGTCCACCACCACTCTTAATTCCTTTTTCTTGTCTTGCATCCTTGCTGGGCTTGGACCAAAGGAAGAAGCCCAAAATCCAGAACAAGAGCATTTGATCCATTTAAAGAACAGAGCATGCTTGGGTAGTACTTGTTAGCTCAAAGACAACACCGTTTTGGCTAACTTGTAAGGTAGGCAACAACATTTCATTTGTACACAATGGTTCAGTCAGATTTCAAACATTTAGCCCCCATATCCAGAGAGATGCCAACCATTCATAATTCCTTTGGGATATTGGTCCACTTTTCATCCACTATGTCATTGATGAGTTGGCCCATGATAAATGTGACCTAATTCACACCACATCACTCAACCACTCGAGATGGTTCCAATTCCAACTAGTGTCACTAGCTCATAGCCTCTTTTATCCAAGTTTAGCTGCCTACTCATACTTTGAATGAAGCTAGTTGGATTAGCTATGCATAGCTAGAGTGTGCTAGAGGTTTGCCCAAGAGCAGGACTGAGTGTTAACCAAGACAACACTCCATGGATGATAATCAAACTAAATGGTCATGGAGGATCCTTTACGAAGGAGAGTTCCGCAAACTCGAAATCTTGACAAGTTCACTTATAGATTTAGCTTCCAATAGAAAAAAATTCTAGTCAAACCACCGATACGGAATGATTTTTTGATCTTTGATGCCAAGTGAAGTTTTGAGTTCAAAGCAACAAATCTCCCAACTACCTCCCATTTGCACTAGATGAACTTGATGCCAACTAAACATCAAACTCATGCATTGCACACATGGATAAACATTCAGGGTACTCAAGTCAACACACATGCAAGTAGGTAGTGTGACCACTTCCACTTGGCATCTAGAGATCTTCAATATTGTGGTTGTTAGGTGCACATAATGGTACCTTTGGATCCAGTTTCCACAGGACTTGATACGCAAGACATTTTGGTATTTTCCTGTCCTTTCCATTGGTTGATCGTTAAATTGGCTTTGACTTTACCAAACTTCAAACTTTTGTGTTTTTTATTTGGAAAACCGTTTCGGATGGGATATCAGAAAAATCAATAATAGAATATCTTATGCTGAAATCGTAGTTAAATAGGTCCATACTACTAAAAATCGTCTACCGAATTAGATTCCGATAGGATGTTTTTTCGGTCAGACTAAAGACATTTCATATATGGCTCTGAGGAAGCTAAACATATATAAATAACAAATCAAAGAGCAAAGGCAGAAAACTAGGCGCAACACTTATCTTCTGATACTTGGCTATTCTTGCTGGTTCTGCTACAAATGACTCAGCTAGAGACCAAAAAATCATCCTACACAACGCCCGGCCGCAAGGAGTTGAAAAGAGTGCAGAAGCAAAATTACAAATCGTAAAAAACCTGAACCATTTCTCTGTAAACAGACTTCCTTAGCCTAGTAAATCAGTTGCCAACAACCACAACTGCAGATTTCCCCGTCTCGGAGAATTTTCTACAGCAAAGGAAAGAGTGACCCCTTCTGATGTTAATGGTTAAACTCCCCCAGCTCTACTCTCAGGGCTTAAATGCCGAAAACGCCACAACTGAATTGTGTCCTCCAAAGCCGAAGGAATTTGAGATGGCTGAAAACAAGAACCAGAGTGTCTTAGATTCTCTTCTTGAAAGTAAGTGCAGCGATCATTGTTCCAAGGTTTAGCTGTCTTACCAACATTCACTTCGTGCTGCTGCTTCTCGTTGGCTACTGTGTTGAATTCAACGGAGGCCTCTGGATTCTGGTTTTACACATACAAGAGATTTCAGTTCATTAACCTAATAAAAACCCAAGATAGCAAAACTCACACATAGCTGTTTAGACAAAGAACTGGGACAAGTGCATACAAATTGGTTGATGGAAGGATGTAGCCATCCCGTGTTGATAGCCTTCACCGTAGCGATTGCTTCCAAACCTCCAGCAGCACCAAGACAGTGACCTATCATAGACTGAGAATGGCAAAAACAAAAGGCAGGTACCGAGATTTACTGATTTAGCAATACGACCACAAGAAATAGAATTTCCAGAAAACACCCAAGTTAAGAGAAGCCAAAAGAACTTGCAGGATTAACCAATGTTAAAGGAGACATAAGGTTTACCTTGGTTGCATTGATTTTAATCTCCGAAGCGTTCTTGAACACCTTCTTTATAGCATTTATCTCCGCAAGGTCACCAGCAAGAGTGGAGGTCGCATGGGCGTTTATGTAGTTGACCTGAGCAGCAAAAAGCACAACGACGTAAGAAAATAGGCAAACCACAACCTTAATCAACCAAGAATATCCTCTTCCTGGCCTTTCCTACTGATACATTACTAGAAAGAACCCAGAACAATCATTTCCGTTCATTTTGCTCTAGCATGACGACGTAAGATATTAAAAAGAATATAGGCAAACCACAACCTTAATCAACCAAGAATATCCTCTTCCTGGCCTTTCCTACTGATACATTACTAGAAGGAACTCAGAACAATCATTTCAGTTCATTTTACTCTAGCAAACTCGGTAAGAAAATTGTAAACTAGCTATATTAATGCAGTTAACAAGCAAGATCAGACTCTTCCCTAATACTCACAGACCGAAGTTTTCAGCTTAATTAGCATCCAAAAGTCAGAAATACATAAAGAAGATTGTCCACTGACGTAAATTTGAAACTATTGCAAAACTAGGAACCATTGCCGGTTACCATTTACCAATGCACACCCACAATATGCGAAAGAAACCAACAAACGAAAAGAGGACTAAATGGAGCCCCAACAAAGAGTCATTTATGACTTTTATAACCATACTAATATTGACATTCAGAGAGAGGCGGGAGGAACAACTTGTCACCTCTTCAGGCGAGACACCAGCATCTTCAAGACTTCTCTCGATACAAGTAGAAACACCAAGTCCATCAGCTCTTGGGTCAGTCATATGATAAGCATCACAGTTAATAGCACCTCCCAAGTACTCAGCAATGATGGGTGCCCCACGTTTCATTGCATGTTCCAAACTCTCCATAATCTGAGCACATTTAAGATTAATCCGTTCAGCTCTTTTAACTCTTGAGCTAGTATTAATGTATCATCATCAGGTTGAAGTTCATAAAAGAAAAAAATTGTGAAGGAAGAAGGATTAACAGATACCAATGCAACCCAACTTACCAAGACTCCTGAACCTTCACCCATAACAAAACCATCCCGATCTCTGTCCCATGGCCTCGAAGCAGTTTGTGGGTCGTCATTTCTCTGAGATAAGGCCCTACATGCTACAAATCCTCCCAACCCTATAGGAATAATAGCAGCTTCAGTTCCACCAGCAATCATCAAATCAGCCTCACCCCGGCGGATATGGTTTGCAGCAGCATAGAAGCAATAATTAGAAGTGGCACATGCTGTTGAAATTGAATAATTTGGCCCCATGAAACCAAGCTCAATTCCCAGCAGAGCCGAAGCCATGTTTGTTATGGAGTAAGGAATGAAGAATGGGCTAACTTTCCTGTGCCCTTTCTCAATTAGAGTCTGGACATTGTCAGAAAATACAGTAAGACCTCCCATCCCTGATCCAACGAGCACACCAGCTTTCTCCAAATCGATCTGCAATAAATGGTTTTCAGAGACCAAATGTAACCGGATCAAAAGAGTGAATCAAATTTTAATAAGAAAGAGGGCGATACTACATTTGAAACTATTTGAAACTTTTTGTCCTATGCACTTGCCGTTTTCAATTCACTTGTAGATCCTAATTCATAAAGAATTCGGCTAACAATTGAGGACAGCAAGACTAATCCAAGCTCACTTGCATTCTACACTTGGCAATCAAACCAAATTCAGATCCTAAAACCAGAACTTCCCCAGCAATTAAAAATGGAAGAAACGATAAACCCACCAAGTAAAACAGCCAAACCCGCCAAAACCCTACACAGCCAAATTCAGAAATCCCAAAAGGAAACATATTTCAATTGAACAGTGGAAGCAAACCTTGGATAGCTTATCCCCACCAAGATCCGCATCTTCCAGGGCCTTCTTCCCCGCCACAATGCAGTACCTCAAGCAATCATCAAGCCTCCGATCGTTCTTCCCATCGATATAACCCTGAGAATTAAACCCCCGGATCTGCCCGGCAAACCGGGTCGGGAACTTGGACGCATCAAAGCGGTCGATGAGGGTGATCCCACTCTCCCCAGCCAGCAGCTTGTCGTAGTAAGCATCCACGTCGTTGCCGAAAACGGATACCAATCCCATACCGGTGATTACGACCCGCTTCTTCGGGTCAGTCTCCCGCTTGGGAGCTGAAACGGAGACATTCTTGGTGGTGGAAGCAGAGGCGGTGATGGCGGATAGCTTCCTCTGGGAGAAGAATGCGGGTCGGGTCGCATTGCGGAATTTCCGTTGGAGGGGCTGCAGTGGGGAAGGGCGGAGAGAAGAAGGGGATTGTAAAGATTGCAGAGCTTGCATGGCGTATGGCAAAGGAGAAGGAAGAAGTGAGATTTTCTGTAATGGGGGGCGACGAGAACGAGGGGGGGAGACGCGGAATAAAAGATGAGGCGGAGCGGGGGGAAGAGTCGAATACTCGCTCAATTGACAGTTCACACTTCACAGTAGTGGTCGTTTGGTTTAGTGATTGTTTGGTGGGAATACTTATAATGTATGTATTGTTCACAAGGCATTGTTTTCCTTAATTTTCTGCACAAACACTACATGCATGTATTGTTCACAATGCATTGCTTTTTTGAATTTTCTGCACAAATAATACATGCATTGTTTGCTTGTGTTGGGCCAAATATTGAGACACTTGGGCTTCAGGCCCATAGCCACTTAAGGCCCACAAAACAGGTCGGGCCTGAACAGGGGCAGCGGGCCACCAAACCGACCGAAGGCGGTCTTTCCCTACGAACGGGACGAAAACTGCCCGACATGGAGGAAAGGTCACCCGACATAATGGCAAACGGATACCTGCCTCTGACCTCCTCAGGTACGGAGTCTGACAAAGTACGGAGAAGCCAGTACTGTCGAAGGCGTCCCAGGACGCCCGACAAGTCATTAAATGCCCACGATCCGCTTACAACTAGTATAAATACCCGATGATGAGCCACATTGATGGTAACTTCTACCAACTCCATTCTCTCTCTTATTTACTCACACTTCACTTCTCTCTCTAACTTAAGCATCGGAGGAGGTCCCAGGAACCCCCTGAGGACCTTTCTGCAGGATTTCGGAGACCGCCCTCGACCATCGGAGCCGCCCAAGGCCAGTGGAGTCTCACAAAACGCTTGGAAAAATCCGAGCACAAACATTTTGGCGCCCACCTTGGGGCCCACGACTTTGTGGCGAATGAGTTGGGAGACGACTTCGAAACCCCCCTCAAGGGGATGACCGAAAACAACACCCTTCGAGGCTTATCGCCGAGGGTCGAAGATAAAGCCGAGCTGGAGGAAGTGGTCAAGAGTCAAGGGATGCAAATCGCGAGCATGCAAGACAGCCTTTCCCAAATTCTTCAGCTCCTGAAGACCCGAGATGACCCCGCCGAGGGATCGAAGGGGAAGACGCGTGGCGAGAAGCTGAAAGGCGCTCTCATCCTCGACAGCCCTGCTCGGACAGAAGGTGGAGGACCAGAGGCCGACGACACGGATCTTAACTTTCTAGAGGAGCATTTGCGGTCAACATTCGGGAAGCACAAGAGCCCGAACGTTCTCCAAAACCCTCTATCGAAATAACTCTTCAAGACTCCGGTTCCCCCCAACTTCTCCTCTCTGGGACTACCTACCTACGGCGGGACATCCAATCCCGCCGACCATCTTTGCGCATTTATGCTAAAGATGCAACTCATCAACGCAACAGACTCGCATCTGTGTCGAGCGTTCTCGGTTACCTTCAGCGGTCAATGCCGAACATGGTACACCTCCTTCCCGGAAGAGATTATAGAAAACTTTGAGCAGTTTGCGATTCTCTTCTCCACCAAATTCGCGTCTCAACGACGTCGCAAACTCACCGTCTCGGCATTCATAAATTGCCGACAAAGGAAGGAGGAGTCGCTTGCCGAGTTCTACGACCGATGGAACGCGATAGCTTGCGAGATAGACGGCATCTTCCCCGTCGTGGCCGCCGGGAACCTCCGAATCTCGACGACTAGCCTCGAGCTGAAAAGAACATTGATAAAAAAGGAGGCAACCCTGACGGCCTGGTCCGACTTAGATCAATTGGTGCGCCGAGCGATCTTGTTGGAGGAAGCGCTAGCCAACGACGACCGAGGCCAGCAAGGCCGCCCCCGCGGAGACGCCTCAGAGCATGGAGACTCCCGGAGGGGAAGGCGGTCCCCAGACCGAAGGTCGTACCGAAACATAGATCGAGAAGGAAGAAGAGACGTGCTTTCCACCGACAGGGAAAGGGGCAGAGATCGAAAGAAAGGCGGAAGGAAGTACGAGACGTCTTCTGCCCAAGAACTGCAGGAAGGAAAGAAGTGGTGCGACTGGCACCAAATCACAACCCATGACACCACAGAGTGTAGAGAATTCAAGGCTACGCTCCGACATCTGGCCCCGGGAGACCTAAGAAGCAAGCTAAAAATGAGGCGGTCTCATAGAGAGCACTCAACAGAAGAGCGGGAGGAGTCTCCGAGTCCTGAACAGGACAAGACAAGACGGATGAGAAAGGAAAGATCAAGATCCCGCTCCCGAAACAAAGTCGCCTCCCCTTTGAGGCAGTCTCCCCCCTACAGAGCACCCGGAACGACGATGACGGAATGGAAGTCATAACGATCGCAGGAGGGCGAAAGCGCCCAAGAACCGAAGGAGACCGCATCGCACAATGCCTCAACGTGCAACGCAGAGCACCGACAGAGGTCACCTTCTTGCCCTCTGAGTTGGCCAACGAAGAAAACTCAGAGGACCCCTTGGTCATTTCCTTTCGAACCGCTAAATTCAAAATCACCAGAGCCCTAGTCGACAACGGGAGCTTGGCGGATATACTGTTCTACTCGGCGCTCAAAGGAATGAAGAATACCGTCCAAGACCTCCAACCCTCCAACACCTGTCTGGTAGGGTTCTCAGGAACAAAAGTCCGCGTCCTCGGGTCAATCACCCTCAAAGTCACCATAGGAGAAGGCGGAGTTACAAAGACTCGTCCGGTGGAGTTCCACGTTGCGGACTGTCCTTCCGCCAACAACGCTATTTTAGGCGGCGGTTTCCTTGCAACTTTCGAAGCGGTCGCCTCAACCTGCCATCAAATGCTGAAGTTCCCGAGTGGAAGTCTAACAGGCCGCGTCCGAGGCAACCCCAAGTATGCCAAGGAGTGCTACCAGGCGACGATTGAACATTTGGAGGTCGACCTGGTTGACGTAAGGGATGACGTACCCCGTCCGGAGGCGGTTGAGGGCGACGTAGCGGTTCCTCTCAACGAAGAAGAACCAAGCAAAACCGTGCGCATCTCGGCCCACTTGGCCAACGAGGAAGCTCAGAAATTACTATCCCTCCTCCGAGAGTTTCAGGACCTTTTCGCATGGGGTCCGGAAGACATGCCAGGCGTCCCCCGCGAGTCTCTGAGCACCGACTCTCCGTCAAGCCCAAAGCAAAGCCAATACAGCAGCGGAGGAGACACTTGTCTGTGGAAAAACAAATGGCACTTGAGGAGGAAGTAAGGCGCCTCCTAAAAGCTGGCTTCATACGGGAGGTCCAATATCCCACGTGGCTCTCCAACCCAGTCTTTGTACGAAAGGTCGGGGGCACCTGGAGGATGTGCATCGATTTCACCAGTCTCAATGCCGCGTGCCCCAAGGACGCATACCCTCTTCCCCGCATCGACCAACTAATAGATGGAACCGCCAACCATGAGGCGCTCAGCTTCCTGGATATGTTCTCAGGCTACCACCAAATCAAAATGGCGGAGGACGACCAAGAGCTAACCGCATTCATGACACCCATGGGTAACTTTTGTTATGTAGTCATGCCATTCGGGTTAAAAAATGCGGGGGCGACCTGCCAGAGGATGGTCGATGCGGTCTTCAAAGACCAGATGGGGAGAAATGTCGAAGCCTACGTGGACGACGTCCTAGTCAAAAGCAAAAAAGCCGGGGACCACCTCTCCGACTTACGGGAAACCTTCGAGACTCTGCGATGGAAAAACCTAAGGCTCAATCCACTCAAGTGCGTCTTCGGAGCCGAATCAGGAAAGTTCCTTGGCTTCATGATCATGAAGCGAGGAATAGAAGCTAACCCGAAGTAGATAGAAGCCATCCGCAGCCTGAAACCGCCAAAGACAATCAAGGAAATCCAGGCGTTCAACAGTAAAATGGACGCGCTTGGAAGGTTCATCCCGCGGTCTGCGGATAAGTGCTCCCCATTTTTTCAGATGCTCTGAAAGTCAGCCTCAAAACTCCAATGGGGTGCCGAGTGCGACAAAGCCTTCACCCTACTAACGAGTCAGCTAAGCTCACCACCAGTCTTGAGCGCCCCCATGATGGAGAGCGGCTCTACCTTTACCTGGCGGTCTCCGAGCGAGCCGTGAGCTCCGTCCTCGTTCGAAGGGCGAAAGACGGTTCTGACCAGCCAGTGTACTATGTAAGCAAAGCTCTTCTCCCCGCCGAAACGAGATACATGCCGGTCGACAAGGCGGTCCTCGCTGTTGCTTCCGCGGCCCGAAGCTAAGACCGTACTTACAGGAACACCCCATCACAGTTCTATCAAACCTCCCCCTCAAGAGTATTATGCGGGGCATGGACGCCTCCGGGAGGTTGACGAAGTGGGCAATCGAGCTCAGCGAGTTCGACATAGAGTACGCCCCAAGGCCGGCCATCAAGGCCCAAGTGATGGCGGACTTCATCGCCGAGGGGTTCTCACTGGAAGGCGTTCCCTCCGAGGAGCGTAATCACGTCTGGCGACTATTCATCGACGGGGCAGCAGGAAAAACCGCCTCGGGGCAGGAATAGTCATTGAATCGCCGGACGGTGTCATCCATGAAATCTCCCTACGATTCAAGGACATCAAAACCAACAACGTTGCTGAATACGAAGCTCTCATCAACGGACTTCGCATACTCGCCACCCTGGGCGCTTCCGATGTGCATATATACTCAGACTCTCTCCTGGTAGTCAAGCAAGTGCATGAAGCGTTCGAGATTAAGGATGAGAAGCTGGCCGTCCTGGCTACCCAAGTGCGAAGCGCCCTGGCACAGCTAAGCTCTTGGAAGCTAGAGCACGTGCGACGGGATGACAACCAGCATTCCGACGCGCTTTCCAAACTGGCCACTGCCATGGACTTCGAAGGCAATCGGCATGTCACCGTAACTAAGGGAAGGACCAACAAGAAGAGATCATGACCTTGGAAGAAGCGACCGATTGGAGGACGCCACTGATTCGATACCTGGAGCAGGACATCAATCCCTCACATCCGATCGAACGCAAGGCGCTCAAGCGCAAGGCGGTCCGATACTCCATGGTGAACGGTCAGTTATGCAAGCGATCATTTTCTGGCGCATACCTGAAATGCCTAGGCCCTGAAGAGGCGCAGTGGACTTTAAAAGCGATACACCAAGGGACGTGCGCCACCCATGCGGGACCCAGGTCGCTCGAAAGAATCGTCCTCTTGCAAGGATACTACTGGCCGACTGTCAAGAGAGACGCCGCCGACGTCGTCTTAAAATGTCACGCGTGCCAAGTACATGCCTCCAAACACCACCTGCCCTGCTCCGAGCTGCAAAGCGTGTTCGGGCCATGGCCCTTTGCCAAGTGGGGACTCGATCTCTTGGGACCCTTTCCCACCGCCCCACTAGGAAAGAAGTACTTGGTCGTGGCCGTCGACTACTTTACCAAGTGGATCGAGGCAGAGCCGCTTGAGACCATCACCAGCGCCCGAGTCCAGAAATTCGTGTTCAACAACATCATGATCCGGTTTGGCATTCCGCACTCAATCATTACTGATCATGGCACACAATTTGACTGCAGACCGTTTGAGAACTTCTGCGCCCGAAACCGCATTGCGTGCACGATGGCGTCGGTGGCGTACCCTCAAACCAATGGCCAAGCAAAGGCATCCAACAAGTTGATCCTCCAAGGACTTAAAAAGCGTCTCCGAGACGCCAAAGGGGCATGGACGGTCGAACTCCCTCACATCCTATGGGCGCATCACACGACCTACAAGACGGCTACGGGCGAGACCTCTTTTGCCCTAACCTATGGCTCTGAGGCGGTCGCTCCTGAAGAAATGGTCATGCCCTCCCTCCGCGTCCAAGCTTACCACCCTGAGTCCAATCATCATGGCTTGCTTGAACACTTGGATATGGTGGAATCTAGACGGAAGGCGTCCCTGGAGCGCATCATGAATGAAAAGGCCAAGGTCGCGTCCAGCTATAACCGAAAGGTGAAACCGCGCCCTCTCGAAGAGGGTGACATGGTTCTCAAGCGAGCTTTCAGAAGAAAGACGAGCATGGCAAGCTGGCGGCCACATGGGAGGGCCCGTTTCTCATTGGAGAAAAGACCGGTCCCAACACGTTTCGTCTTGCAACCATGGAAGGCGATCTAGTCTCCAAGACATGGAACGGCATGCATCTACGGAAGTACCACACAGACGTGCTCTAAGGTACCACATTCCCTAGTGCAACAATGTACGGGTTGCTACCAAGCACCCGCTTTTGGATCTCTTTTGGTGGAGAGGGCAATGCCCCACCACTTGTAATAGTGTATGGGTTGCTATCACGCACCCACTTTCCCTTACGTAATACACTGACATCTATTTCGGCCAACACTTTGGACCTCGATACTCGCATTACACAAGTTTGAGGTCAACTAACTCAAAGACCCATGAAACATACGAAACAACACGACATCCGCGTCCCTCGGTCACAAAACAAAGGAAAAAGGGCATCACTGCCCCCGCAAAACCACCAGAACCCTCGGACGAGGTGAAACATGGTCGATAGGAGATCGCAAATAATGCATAAACCCGCACCAACGCGGTCGCAACAAACATCCTCGACAAAGCTACAAGAAAAATCAATACTGCCCAAAGACGGTCACCAGCACTCGTCCATATTACAGCAACTACAGAAAGAGCTTCCTAAGGCGCTCACTCACACAAATTGTTGAGAATCCAAGGAAAAGTCAAAAACCGCTCCAACGCGGGTCCACCAAATTGTCACCACATCATCCAAAGCACAACAAGAATCTCGCAAAGGAAAATGTCTTTACTACGAAATCATCCAACAAAAGATAAAGAAGTCGTTCGTCCCCATAACACAGGTTACGGAGCGGTCTCAGATCGCTGGAGATCCTCCTTCATCCGCATCACCTTGCTCGGTGTCCTCTCCATCCTCCTCCGATTCTTCCGCCTCCGAATTCACATCCAAGGAGGACCACTGACCAACCGCATCCCACACACGGTCAGAGTCCCAACCCAAATCGGAGCACTCCTCACGGAACAAATGACGGATGGCGGCCACCACATTGCCAACCACCTCCTTATATTTTGCCTTATCATAGGCCAAGAACTCTGCAGACTTAAGGTAGGCGGGGCCCGCCTCGGCCCGGACAGCGGCCACCTCCGCTTCATGCTTCTCCTCCAGAGCGGTCTTCTCCAACTTCAAGGCAACTACCTCTTTGCTCAATGCGTCTTGCTCTTCCAAAAGATTCTTCTCAATCTCGCCCGACTTCCGAAGCGAGTCTTGGAGGCGGTCTCTCAAAGTAAATGGGTATGGGTACAAACCCATCAAACTCTACCCATATCCATCTATTTGGATTTCATACCCAACCCAATTGGTTTGGATAGTAAGAAACCCATGGGTATGGGCAAAGTTGCCATCCCTATACACCATCACTGCTCACCTCCACATCCTCCTCCGATGAAACACTACCTAATTCTACCCGCTCAAATTCCCCAAGATTATCCCTGACCGCCGACGACGTGGCCACAACCCCAACTGGCACAGGGTGGAGGTTAGCACAAGAGTTATCTAAGTCTACACAAGTCCCAACAAGGCAATCTCGCAATTCATACCCATCTCCAACATATAACTCTAACCCGGATAAATCCCACACGCATTCAGACGTGCTTCGAACGGGAGAAGAATGATTCGTACCTTGAATACCAGAAGCGGTCTCCACAAGCTTTTTTCCGGCCGCCCGAGGCGGTAGGGTAGCGGTTGAAGAAGCAGGGCTCTTTCTGGACACCACCGTGGGTCCAGAGTCGGCGATCGGAGCGTTTCCCGCGTCTGGGGCATCGTGCCTCGACCCGCTGACCGGAGATGGACGTCCTTCACTCGACATCTGCCGGCGGCGAATGCGAGCGGGCCCAACGATTCCCCACAACCCGAAGCAACAACGTCGCCCACAAAGAATAACAAGCGAGTCAGTAAACCCAAGGAAATCGCGCGTCCCAAACAAAAAACCCAAGTCAAAACTCACATGACGGATCGAATTTATAGCCGGCGAAGTAGAAGGCCTTGGAGCTTCTCGCAGAGAAAGAAAAGAGGAAGAAGACGAAGAGATTTTTCAAACCGGAGGAGAGTGGCGAAAATCTCTCTCAAAATCCTACTTAAAGGCGAAAAAGGAAAGAATGACGTTCGATGAGACCTTTTTCGCGAAACCCGAAGCGGAACACCCCCAGAGGTGACGTCCCGCCTGCCGGTGTCAGGGCTCCGCGCCTGATGCATGACACGTGGAGACTATGAGCTCGAATAACAAGGTCGGATGCGGTCTTCGCCCCTCAGGCGCCCTCACGATACGCTTCCGCGACTAAGGGCAACAAAGGAGCGCACTCAATGCGGTCTCGGACCGCCCAACGTGTACTATGAGTCAGAAGACCCAGAATCGCTCAATATTGGGCAAAAGTATCGTTTAGCCGCGAAAACCTATCGTTTCCCACGCCTAAGGGGCAAATGTTGGGCCAAATATTGAGACACTTGGGCTCCAGGCCCATAGCCACTTAAGGCCCACAAAACAGGTCGGGCCTGAACAGGGGCAGCGGGCCACCAAACCGACCGAAGGCGGTCTTTCCCTACGAACTGGACGAAAACCGCCCGACATGGAGGAAAGGTCGCCCGACATAATGGCAAACAGATACCTGCCTCTGACCTCCTCAGGTACGGAGTCTGACAAAGTACGGAGAAGCCAGTAGTGTCGAAGGCGTCCCGGGACGCTCGACAAGTCATTAAATGCCCACGATCCGCTTACAACTATTATAAATACCCGATGATGAGCCACATTGATGGTAACTTCTACCAACTCCATTCTCTCTCTTATTTACTCACACTTCACTTCTCTCTCTAACTTAAGCATCGGAGGAGGTCCCAGGAACCCCCTGAGGACCTTTCTGCAGGGTTTCGGAGACCGCCCTCGACCATCGGAGCCGCCCAAGGCCAGTGGAGTCTCACAAACCGCTTGGAACAATCCGAGCACAAACAGCTTGATTTGACACAAACTACTCAAAATGAGTGATAGTTAAATCTCAAGTTTTTTGTGAGATTGTTTGGTGGTGATTGTTTTGTTATTTTTTCTTCCAACTATGTCCCTACCTTTCCATGTGTGTTACTTTTTTATACTAAAAGCAAAGGGTAAAAGTGACATTTCATCCAAAAAGTAGTATAACTTGTTTAAATACTACAATAACTATCGCAAAAACAAAACGATGTAAACTATAATACACCAATTTTCTTATATATATGCATATTAGTATACATGCATTGATGACAATCCATCAATTTAACTATCACCAAAACCAAACGACCCCTTAGTAGTCTGACTAGTCTCTATTTCACAACTGGGGCTAGGAGACAAAAAAAAAAGACTTTTTAGCTTGCCAAAAATACATTTTTATTCCAATCCTATAAAATGCCAAATTTAGTTTCTCATATTCTTTTTTCTGTTTATTATATTTCAATAAAAAAATTATGTGAATTTTTAAATTCTAAGACAAAAAAACAAACAAATATTATTCGTTAATTTGTTACATTAATTTTGGGATCACTCCAAATATGTTCATTTTTTTGTAGACGTTAAGTTATGACATTTTTTTGACATTTTGTGTAGCATATGGTTTTATAATGATAGTTCTTCATTTCTAAAACAAACACATTCATCATGAGTATCTCAGATAACTCGTCGTCCGGAGAAAATGAATAAATCGAAGATTGTGAAAGGTATCACCATCTACGTTAGAAACATCCATTCTTCTTCGTTCGTACTCTATCATCGACTTTTGCCTCTTTCTCGTATCTTTACCAAATTCTAGCAGTTGAGTAGTGTACATGTCTGATGACTCAACAACTACCTTACATTTCTTCTTTGCTGCCTTATGTTTGTCGTATCTTTCGGGATGAGACAACACGAAGACATAACTCTTTCATTTGGTAAATCGTCAAGGCTTCCACGGGAGAGAATTGGAACCAACACCTATGAGAAAAAGAAGCTAAACAGGCGCCTCCATATATTAACAAATGGTGGAAGGGTTTTGTTGCTACCGGCGAATGACTCTGAAATCCACTTCAGGGAACGTGGCAGGCAGGGTAGAGATGGTGGCTAGGGGTGGGCAAACGGTTCGGTAAACCCGAACCGAACCCAAATTAAACCGAACCGAAACTGAATTAATGCTATTCGGTTCGAAATTCAAAAGGAAAATATGGATAGTTCGGAAATCGGGGTTCTTTCAACCGAACCGAATTTCCGACCGAAAAACTGAAATACTATAATTGCAAGCTCCAAATGGTGCATTTTTATGTTTGTAGTTGTTTTTAGACTTAAATATTTGAAATGTTTTATGACTTATGTGTTGAAAAGTTGAGTTTTATCATTGATGATGCATATAATTGATATTTATTGTTTATATTAGGGGTGAAAAATAATTTAAAAGTGAGAAAATACAAGTAGCTTCACAAATTCGGTTTTATGTGAAAAACCGAACCGAACCGAATTATAGTTCGATTTAAACCGACCGAACCGAATTATAATTCGGTTCGAGTTCGGTTTGGGAGAATTCGGGAACCCGGTATTCATAATTTCAGTTCGGTCAAAACCGAACCGACCGAATGCCCACCCCTAATGGTGGCGGAACAGAAAGAAGGAGAAGCTAAACATGCACCTTCATTTCTCTAGCGGCTCTTCCGACAATTGCTGTGGAGGCAACGATTTGCAAATGAGTCCTTAACTAAAATTACGTCCCAACATGGTTTCGCTCATCAAACCAAACACAACGCCCATAAATCGACTTTCCAAAATACCCCTAAAATTTCTCTGGATTTTTGAATGAGTGTGACAGTTTTTTGATTGTACTATAAAATAATGTGTGGATTAATCCAGTTTAAGTTTTGATTAGGCGTTTCGCGTCGTTGCTTGAGCAGGTTAAAGTTGTAAGATCTTTTTTTTTTCAAAGATAACTCGTATTATCGAGATAAAAGAGATATACTAGAATTACCTGACTGCACACAACCGAGAATAAAAATCAAATCAACGAAACTACGAAACAAAAAAAAAAAAAAATTTTGGCCACCAAATGGACCACCCTATTTTCAGCATGATCAGCAAATCTGATGAAAAAGAAATGTAGACATTTTTAAGGAATTAATTTTTCTTTGCCATTCATTACAAAGAAGCCCAAGTGTAGGACCTTTTCTAAAAGAGCCCAACAGTTAGGGGTGAACAAAACAACCCGCAAACAGATCCACCCGACCCAATCCACCCGTATTTATCGTCAAAATAAGTTTAAAGTTAGGTGAAAATTTTCTTTTGTACAACCCACCTCTATTGGGTTGGGTCCGGATTTTGGTTAACGCAACCCTTAGAACCCGACCCAACCTGTGTTGAACTATTGTCATAAGTGTTCGTATACAATACATATTTGTGTCATAAATAAAACATATTTGTGAGAAAATTAAACTATCCTATCATATTTTTCTTTTGTGGTTTCTCTAGTCTAATACATTCTTGGGATTTTTCCAAAAGTAGCACTGTTTAATTTTTTTTTTCCAAAAATAGCACCCTTAATGCAAAACCGCCACCCGTACCAGCGGTTTAGGCGAAAACCGCCATCCCGGGGCGCGTTTTTCGATGAAAACCGCACTGGTAGGGGGCGGTTTTGCAGACCGCACCCCCACCATGCGGTCTGCTTTTTTTTAAAAAAAATCCTAACCTAGGTGGAAACTTCAAACGAACGTATCTTTGTGTTCGGGTATCCGATCGTCGCGATTTTTTTTTTATTCTGCATAAACTTTTGAGATCTTGCAAGCCGAAGTCTGCCGAAGGTGTTTTGGTCTTGCCTTCGTCCCGAAAAATGTCGTTTGCTACCCCGAATGAGCTTTTTTCCGATTTCGTCAAACTTTGGACAACCATAACTTTGTGCTCCAAAATCCAAACGACATTTTTTTTTATTTCGCATAACTTTTTAAGGACTACAATTTTTACAAGAATGAATTTTCAAAACAGGAATTATTTTTGGATATACAGGATTTTGGGAATAGCTTACCTTCCTTTCTCAGCAATCCACGTACATTTTGAAATTATGTCTATGATAAAAGTTGTATTCCTTAAAATTTATGCGAAATACAAAAAATTTCATGCCGTTTGGATTTTGGAGCACAAAGTTATGGTTGTCCAAAGTTTGACGAAATTGGAAAAAAGCTCGTTCGGGGTAGCAAACGACATTTTTTGGGACGAAGGCGTGACCAAACCATATTCAGCAGTCTTCGGCTTGCAAGATCTCAAAAGGGTATGCAGAATAAAAAAAAATCACGACGATCGGATACCCGAACACAAAGATACGTTCGTTTGAAGTTTCCACCTAGATTAGAATTTTTCCAAAAAAAAAAAAAGCAGACCGCATGGTGGGGGTGCGGTCTGCAAAACCGCACCCTACCAGTGCGCTTTTCATCGAAAAACGCGCCCCGGGTGGCGTTTTTCGCCTAAACCACTGGTACGGGTGGCGGTTTTGCAGAAAGGGTGCTATTTTTGTAATTTTTCGGAGTTGGGTGCTATTTTTGGAATTGTTTTTTAAACAGTGCTACTTTTGGAAAAACCCTACATTCGTCAACTTAATATTTAGTCTTAGATTTAATTTAAGCTATGATTCACGTATTTTTTTCTTGTGTGTACAATTTTAGAAGAACAATATAGCATGAATGTGTTAGCTTATAACTACTTTAGCTTAATTTGACAAATATTTTTGAAAAATACTAGACATATGTTGAAGTAAATTGCATTTCATTAAAATCCAAATAATATTTATGCGTATTGAAACTTTTTGCCTCGACTTATTTGTTTAAAATCTTAATTAGTTATATAATATTTTCGTAGTGTATAATAGTTGCCTTTTTTGTGTTGAGTTATTTATTTAATTAAAGTATCTCCAACCCAACTCAATCCAATTATAAACAAATCGTAGAATTTTAATTTTTTTAGGTTGAGTTGAATTTAACATTTTCAAAATTTTAATGTATGAGTCGGGTAATTAAAATGATTAAACCAGAACCAGCCAACCCATGTACACCCTTACCAATAGTAACACACGATCATGATGAAGAGGCTCGTTGAGTTCCCCCGCCAAAAGTATATCTTTCCCGCCAAACTCACACTCATTACCCGCTCAAAACCGTCCCAGGCAACTAGGGCACGAAGCAACAGAGCCACATTTTGCACTTTCTAATACTGGGTTCTCTCCTTCTTACCTTCTATTCGATTGAGGCGTGAAACACTGCAATTTCTGCTGCGTAGAAGCCGAGATTCAATCGAAGAGCTTAAGAAATGGCGAGCTTTGAAGACCGGAGCAGCCACAAGCGAGCTTTCCTCGAGTTCTTGGACCAGAATGTACATCTCTATTTCTCTCCTCTCCATCCATTTTAATTGCCGTGGGGTTTTTATTTTTATAGAATTTATAGAGTGGGAATAGTGACGATGAATGACCGAATTGATTAGGTATACAAGAACGAGATCAAGGCTATGATTGACCAGCGGCGCCGCCGTCTCATTGTCAATATCTCCGATCTGCACTCCTTCCAAGACTTCGGTCCCAGGTACACTCATTTCTTCCCTTTCAAATGTTGACAATTTCAAACCTAAGCTCTTTTTTCATCTCTCTTATGGAGGAGTTTAGGGTTTAAGAAGAGTATTTGAAAACCTTGTAGTGGTTACGGTTTATTGCGGCACAGTGACTTCAGCTGATGTTGTTTTCATGACCGGGATTACTAATTCTTGTGCCTTCCCAATTTTGCTCTCTCTGTGAAGTTCGTATAAGTTTTGATTATGTTGACATTTACCCTTGTTTTGGGGTGTTTTAGGATCTTGAAGAATCCGAGCGAGTTTATGCAACCATTCTGCGATGCGGCCACAGACATTGCTCGAAGTATTGACCCGCTGTTTTTGAATGAAGGAGAGCAAGTGCATGTGGGTTTCGAGGGGCCTTTTGTCTCCCGCCGTGTCTCTCCTAGAGAGCTTCTCTCTGAGTACATTGGCACCATGGTCTGCGTTGAGGGCATTGTCACCAAATGTAACAATTTCATTCCCTTCAGTTTGATTGGATAAAATTTTGGGGTGGATACTAATTTTATTTTGGTTTTGGTATTCTTTGTCAATTTTAGGTTCTCTGGTTAGGCCAAAGGTTGTGAAAAGTGTGCATTACTGTCCTACAACTGGAGATTTCACTTCTCGCGAGTACAGAGATATCACTTCTAATGTGGGCTTGCCAACGGGGTCCGTGTATCCAACAAGGGTATCGTCTGAGTAACTTGATTAGTAAGTTTTTCAAATACTTGATGGATCAACCTTTTCCTCATGGAGACATTGCTAATGCAGGACGAGCACGGTAACCTATTGGTGACTGAGTATGGCTTGTGCATGTATAAAGATCACCAAACCTTGTCAATGCAAGAGATGCCTGAGAATTCTGCTCCTGGTCAGCTCCCACGAACGCTGGATATCATTGTTGAGGACGACCTTGTTGATTCATGTAAGCCTGGAGACCGGGTGGCTATGGTTGGGATATACAAAGCACTTGCTGGAAAGACCAAGGGAAGTGTGAATGGTGTATTTAGGTATGAAAAAGAACCAGTATTTGGGGAACTATTTTCTGTTTCTATTATTGTAACATCATGGTTCAGTTTTGATGAAGTGACATTGCTTGATATGCAGGACCGTGCTGATAGCTAATAATGTTTCCCTCCTGAACAAATTGGCAAGTTCTCCAATTTACACCGCTGATGATATCAAGAACATCAAAAAGATTGCTGAAAGAGCTGACGTTTTTGACCTACTGGGTAATTCACTTGCACCTTCGATATATGGGCACTCATGGATAAAGAAAGCTGTTGTGTTGCTGATGCTTGGTGGAGTGGAGAAGAACTTGGAAAATGGCACCCATTTAAGAGGGTGAGTTAAACTTTTACTGATGCACTTGCTGGAAGTGGAGGCATCTGGTGTTGCAGACTTGTTATTTATACATCTGTGCATTTTGATGGGTTCTGGGATTCAATTCCTTTGGTTCATATTGAAAACAAATGTCTTCTCTTCCCCTCTTCAGTGACATCAACATGATGATGGTTGGTGATCCTTCTGTTGCCAAATCACAACTACTTCGAGCAATCATGAATATTGCTCCTTTAGCTATATCAACCACTGGTCGTGGGTCTTCTGGTGTGGGCTTGACAGCTGCTGTAACTTCTGATCAAGAAACAGGTACAAACACAGAATGTGAGATGGCATTCTGGTTTCCAGAAATTCGGGTTACAGCTTCCCCTCATTTCTGAATGTTAACAGGAGAAAGAAGGCTAGAAGCTGGAGCCATGGTTCTTGCTGACAGAGGTGTCGTTTGCATTGATGAGTTTGACAAGATGAACGATCAGGATCGTGTTTCCATACATGAAGTCATGGAGCAGCAGACCGTTACTATTGCAAAAGCAGGGATCCATGCATCACTAAATGCTAGATGCAGCGTGGTGGCTGCTGCAAATCCCATATATGGAACCGTAAGACAATCTTCATCTGAAATGCTAAATTGTTTCTCTTTTTCCAAACTGCTTGCGTGAAATCATGTTTCTGGATTGTTTGTTATTGATGGCAGTATGACCGCTCAATAACGCCTACTAAGAACATAGGGCTTCCGGACTCTTTGCTTTCTCGGTTCGACTTGCTTTTCATAGTTCTTGATCAAATGGACGCTGATATCGACCGCCAAATCTCGGATCATGTCCTGAGAATGCACCGGTATCGTTCAGCAATCGACGCAGGTGAGGCAGCAGTTGATGATGCAAGTGCAAGATACGCAAGAGAGGAGGATGCTGAGACCGACACATCTGTATTTGTCAAGTATAACCGAATGCTTCATGGGAAGAAAACAGACAGAAGTCGCAAAAGGGATACACTTTCGATAAATTTTCTGAAGAAGTATATTCACTATGCTAAGCATAGGTTCCAGCCTGAGCTGACAGACGAGGTGCGTCAGTTTGTTACTACTTGCATTTGGAATGCATAAAAAAACAGCCTTTTTGGTAGTCCTCTCATAATAGGTTGGTCCACAGGCATCGGAGCAAATTGCAACTGCCTATGCGGAGCTGAGAAATTCTGGGACAACCACAAAGGTTTGTGCTTGACATTATGAATTATGATTGGTGAGATCACAGCTACTGAGTAATCTCAAATTAAACACTTGCCCTTTTTGTAGACGGGAGGAACACTTCCAATCACTGCTAGAACGTTAGAAACCATAATACGTCTATCAGCTGCCCATGCAAAGTTGAAACTGAGTAGACAGGTATTTGGGTTTTAAGTTAGGCTACTCTCTGTACTTGTTATATATTTCGTCAGAATCACTTATGTGATCGTCTTGTAATGAATGGGGGCTGCCTTCCCTGGCCAGGTTACAAAGTCTGACGTTGAAGCTGCTCTGAAAGTTCTAAACTTTGCCATATATCATAAAGAATTAACTGACATGGAAGAGCGTGAAGAAGAAAGGGAGAGGGAAGCCGAGAGAGAAAACAGAGCTCAACGTCGCCGTACCAATCGGAACACAGCAGGAGATGATAATCAGGCTACTACTAATGCCGACGGAGACAGGTGAGTAGACAGGTCACTCCCCATATATCAAAAGTTCAAAACCATGTATTGTGTTGTACTTGTAGGGGGACTTTTGGATGGGGAACCGAGGGAAATTAGCTTTAAATTATCAGCTGCAGCCCTTCGGAAATCCATCCATTTGGATAACCAGAAAACGATTCCAAATGGCTGGAATTTGGAAAATTTCCCATTTCAAGATCCCCACATCCAAACTATGCCTTAATGGTTTCAGTTATCATGGCTTGACCTTGCTAGCAAGACTGGTTGTTGATAATCCCTGCAAGACTAATTCCTCTCCATTTTGTTTTGCGTCATTTTCAGGCCTGAGGTAGACCCCATGGATGTAGATGATCCTGCTGCAGAGCAGCCCACTACAGGAATATCTACGGAAAGGTTTGTACCTAAGGGGAAGCCCACCATATCTAGCAATGCCATGATTTTCACCATAGTAGACTGCCTGTAACTCTGATTCTTGTTCTCCCGATTTCGGGGTTTGTTTTCTGTAGGACTGAAGCATTCAACACTGCGTTTCTTCAGTGTATGCGGTACCAGCAGAGCATAACCATAGATGATCTGGAGAAGGCTGTTAACACAGGAGCTGCTAATTACTCCAGACCAGATATAATGACATTGTTACAGGTAAACCTTGAAACAAATATTAGGAAACGTTTTTTACCTTTTTTTTCCATGATTCACTCTTGACTTTTAAGTTCTTCTCTTTCTGTTGCTATTTGGCCAGAAACTGCAAGATGATAACAGAGTGATGATCGCAGACGATGGGAAAGTTCATTTGGTTTGATGTTTGCTCCCGTCAACTCTTAGCGTTTCCTTGTTGAAGCAACGCCAATGGCTTGTCAAACTCGTGGATGAATGAATGTGAGACCGGTTATGTGTTTATAGTGCATGTTTGTCATTTGATTCCCCTATTCCTCAGCTCTTTCATCTGTAAGTTGTAAACCTTAGCAGTAGAAGTTCAATAACGACTTTTGTGCCTTGTTGTGAAGAAGCCAGAATTTAGAGAGGCTAAAATTCATTTAATGTTAGTAATTTTTTTTAAATATATTTTTACAGTTAAATCGACATGGTGTAAATTGTAATGATTGCGCTAGATAGATACAGCTTGATAAACCGCAACGTAGCAGCGCAGAGAAATTGAACTTCAAAGCCCCAACGGCTATCTGCACTTTACCTTTTGTTTCTCGACTGAAGAAGACAACTTGATGTGCTGCATTTTGTTCTTCTCCAACTTCCTTTGGCGCTACGCACCGTTTCCTTGCAACGCTGTCGTTCCACTTTGCCGTTTCCCCGAGATGCTGTCGTTCCACTTTCTACTGCAACGTTGTTTGCTTTTAGTTCAAGTCAGAGTTTGTTTCTATTTCAAGAAAACTACAAACATGTACCTTGAAGCTTGTCTGCTAGCACTAGAACATCTGATATATATTGTAATCCTTGAGACAAATCAATACAAGTTTTAGGGTTTCAAGTTCCAGATCTGTTGTTATAGTATCAGAGCCTGGGAAACCCTAGGCGCTGCCAATGGCACATGAACCAGATGCAGCAGCTGCACCTCCACCACCACCACTTACTTACCAGATGGAAGATCCTTACTTCCTTCATGGTTCAGAGAAACCTGGCTCTCTCCTGGTTGCTGATCGTCTTTCCACTACCAACTACAATGATTGGAGCCGCGCAATGTACAACGCTCTAGCTGCAAAAAACAAACTGGGGTTCATCAATGGAACCATACCAGAATCACCAGACACAGATCCAAAGCATGGTGCTTGGGTCCGCAACAATGTGATGATACTTAGCTGGATTCAGCAATCTGTTCAAGGTGAAATCAGGAAGACAATCCTCTCCAGCAAGTCTGCTTATGAAGCTTGGCATAGTCTACAAACAAGATATGGTTCTGGTGACATCATCAGGGTTGCAGAAATCGAAGAAGCTCTTGCTACCCTGAAACAAGGTAACCAAACCATTACTTAGTATTATGGTAGAGTAATCACACTTAGGGATGAACTGGATAACTACCAACCACTTCTCCCCTGTGATTGTACCCCTACTAGTCACATTGACTGTCGAGCCATGAAGAGGGTGCTAGAATACCATGACACTAGCTATGTCATTAAGTTCCTTAGAGGTCTCAATGAAAATTTTTCTGGGGTTCGTTCTCAAGTTCTGTTTGGGGAGGAACTACCAACTATCAACCGAGTTTTTCAAAGATTACTTCAGCATGAGAGACAGCTCTATGGTACTCAAACTGGCAAAATGATAGCCTCAGTCACCACATATCCATCTATTCTTGCTTTACAAGCACCCAACAGAAGGCCTTTTTCCACTGCCAAGAGACCATTTTGCACATTCTGCAAAAAAGAAGGTCACACTGAAGATGTTTGTTACTCAAAACATGGCTGGCCACCTGGTTACATCCCTAGAAATTATGTTCCTCAACAGTCAAGGGTGATTGAGTGCACCTTTTACAAGAAGCAAGGACATACTAAAGACAAGTGTTTAAAAAAAACATGGGTTTCCTCCCGATTATGTTCCCAGATCTCAATCTACACCCACTTATGGAAGAGGAAGGGGTCAAGTCCATATTGCTCCAACTGTCCATCAAGAAGATGGAGTGAAGTTGACCAAATCTGACTATGATAAGCTCATGAGCTTGATGAACTCACAGAAATCTCAACCCTCTTACTCAGCTGCTTTTGTCTCCAGCAGAGGTACTAATTCTTCCTGCCTTCTGTCAATTCCAGTTATGAATGCTAGCCTTCACCAAAATGACAGATGGATCCTAGATACAGGAGCCTCTGATCACATTGTTTGCTCTCTTGACCACTTACACAACTATAAACCCATTGAGAATGTCTACATTACTTTACCCACTGGTGAGCATATTCAGGCCACACATTCTGGCACCACATACTTCAATGACTCACTTACCTTAGAGGATGTCCTCTACATTCCTCATTTTGCTTTCAATCTGGTCTCTGTCAGCAAATTAACCACCACAAATTCACTCTCCTTAACCTTCCACTCTAACCTTTGTCTTATACAGGATCTGATGCAGAGGAAAGTGAATGGTTCTGCTAGACTACTCAATGGACTTTACTACCTAGAAGGCTATAGTAGACCTAAGCACATTTCAGCAGTTAGTTCTTCAAATTTTGATCTCTGGCATTTTCGTTTGGGCCATGTCTCCCATTCAAAAATCCCTCACCTCAACCTTTTTTGTACCTCCATTCAAACTCAAAGAGATCAACCCTGTGATGTTTGCCACTTTGCAAAGCAAAGAAGGCTTCCTTTTCCTTCCAGTCAAAGTGTAACTTTGTATGCCTTTGAACTGCTTCATGTTGATATTTGGGGTCCAAACCCTGTTCCTTCTCATGATGGTTACAAATATTTTCTCACTATCGTTGATGACCATACTCGAATGACTTGGATCATTCTCCTCACTCTAAAATCAGAAGCCAGACCTAAACTGATTGCCTTTTGCAATCAAATGCAAAGGCAGTTTCAAGTAAACATTAAAAGAATTAGAAGTGATCAAGGGAAGGAATTCCTAATGGATGATTATTTTCAGTCTACTGGTATAATTCATGAGAAGTCTTGTGTTGAAACCCCACAACAAAATAGCAAAGTTGAAAGGAAACATCAACATATTCTCACAGTTGCTAGAGCCCTCTCTTTCCAAGCTTCTATGCCACCTAGTTTTTGGGGAGACTGTGTCAAACATGCTGTCTACCTCATAAATAGAGTGCCTTCTACCATTATGGACAACAAAACTCCATTTGAACTCCTCTATCATAAGCCACCAGACCTAACAGACTTAAAAGTCTTTGGCAGTCTTTGCTTTGCTAGTACTCTAGGAAGTCACAGAACTAAATTTCAACCTAGAGCTAGAAAAGGAGTCTTTCTTGGCTATTCCCCTTGAATCAAAGGATTCAGAATCTATGATATCCTTTCTCATGACATCTTCATTTCCAGGGATGTCATTTTTTATGAATCCCATTTTCCATTCAAAACTATTTCCTCTGATGATGTGACTCATTCTACTTCTGATCACCTATATCCCCTTCCCTCTACATCTTCCCCTTCCTTCACTGATGACATGGACCTTCCTTCTTCACCTACTGTTCCTCTTGATCCACCATCTCCTACTCCTGACCCTTCCACCAGTCCCCCTCCTTCCTCTCAGCCTCCTAAACCTCCCCGACCTATCAACCCTTCTTCCTCTTCAACTCAGCCAACAACATTACCTACTCCTTCACAACCCTTACCCACAAGAAAATCCAGTAGACATGTTAATCCCCCATTCTCATCTTGTTAAGAACTATCATTGTTACCTTGCTCAACAGTCTAGCAGACCAGCTCACAATTCAATGCATCAGCTCTAAGACAACAGGTTTGATCTATCCTCCACTATATCCTATAATTCTCTTGAGCCACATTTTCGTCACTACCTGCTTAACATTTTATCACACCATGATCCACAAACATTTAAAGAGGCTTCTCAATTAGAAGAGTGGAATCATGCCATGAAACATGAGATCACAGCTTTGCTCAAGAACAAGACATGGGATGTAGTTGAGTTGCTAGCTGGGAAGAAGTCAATTGGCAACAAATGGGTTTATAAGTCCAAATTTGATTCTGATGGTTCATTAGACAGAAGGAGAGCCAGATTAGTTGCAAAGGGAAATTCACAACAAGAGGGAGTGGATTATCAAGATACTTTTGCCCCAGTCATCAAAATGACAACAATCAGAACATTCTTGGCTATTGCATCAATCAGAAACTGACACATACATCAATTGGATGTAAACAATGCCTTTTTACATGGGGACTTACAAGAAGAGGTCTATATGACACTTCCTAAAGGTTATGATCCTCCTCCAGGCTACATTCATCCTGTTTGTCGATTAAGGAAATCACTTTATGGCCTCAAGCAAGCCTCTCGTCAATGGTTTTCAAAATTAACAGACAAGTTACAGGAAGTAGGTTATATTCAAAGCATGGCTGATCATTCCCTCTTCTACAAAGCTACTGAGACATCTTACACTTGCATTCTGATCTATGTGGATGATCTGATCATTGGTGGCAATGACATTACAGAGATCAATTTTCTCAAGCAATTTCTACACACTGCCTTCAGCATTAAAGATTTGGGAGTTCTGAGATTTTTCTTAGGCATTGAAGTTGCCAGGAACAACAAAGGCATTCATTTGTCCCAGAGAAAATACACTTTGGAGATTATTGAAAAAGCAGATGTTTTAGATTAAAAAACAGTCACTACACCCATGGACTACAAATTGCATCTCTCCAGTACAGTTGACACACCCTATTCTGATCCAGAGCATTACAGAACATTGATTGGGAAGCTGATCTACCTCACAACCACTCGACCTGACATCAGTTTTGCTACCCAACAACTCAGCCAGTACATGTCTACTCCAACCATTACCCACTACAAAGCTGCTCTCAGAATCATTCGATATCTCAAAACAGCACCTGCCACTGGTCTATTTCTACCTAGCACTGGTTCTTTACAATTAAAAGCCTTTACTGATTCAGATTGGGCGGCTTGTGTAGAAACAAGAAGATCCACAACATGATATTGTGTTTACCTCGGCGATTCCTTGATCTCCTGGAAAAGCAAGAAGCAGCTGCCCGTTTCTCGTTCCTCTTGCGAAGCAGAGTACAGGGCTCTGGCTTATACTGCTTGTGAGATCCAATGTCTCCTCTTTCTCCTTCGTGACGTCAAGGTTGACCATCCCAAGCCTGCTTTGTTGTACTGCGACAATCAGAGTGCTATTCACATTGCTCAGAATCCCACTTTTCATGAGCGCACCAAGCATATAGAGTTCGATTGTCATCTTGTGCACGAGAAGCTTCAATCTGGCATTTTGAAACTGCTCCATGTCTCTTCGACTCACCAACTTGCCGATTTATTCACCAAACCTTTGTCTCCAGCGCCATTTCTACAGCTCTTCTCCAAACTTGGTGTGCATAATCTATGCCCACCAGCTTCCGGGGGGGGGGGGGGGGGGGGGGGGGGGGGGGGAGGGGGGGTAACAGCGCAGAGAAATTGAACTTCAAAGCCCCAACGGCTATCTGCACTTTACCTTTTGTTTCTCGACTGAAGAAGACAACCTGATGTGCTGCGTTTTGTTCTTCTCCAACTTCCTTTGGCGCTGCGCACCGTTTCCTTGCAACACTGTCGTTCCACTTTGCCGTTTTCCCGAGATGCTGTCGTTCCACTTTCTACTGCAACGTTGTTTGCTTTTAGTTCAAGTCAGAGTTTGTTTCTATTTCAAGAAAACTACAAACATGTACCTTGAAGCTTGTCTGCTAGCACTAGAACATCTGATATATATTGTAATCCTTGAGACAAATCAATACAAGTTTTAGGGTTTCAAGTTCCAGATATGTTGTTACAAGGGTATAAATGTGTCGACAAGTTTGTTTATGAGTATTTGACTGGACGCGGCAGTTTTAGAGCCACAGGATTGGCAAATGGAGAAGAACTGGGTCCAATTCTGGTGGTGGCTGAAAATGTAATTTCATTCTAGCAAAGACCAAATAGAACGAACTAGCAGCATCAGTCCTTTTATCTGTTTGTCTGTTTCTTATTAGTCTCTCTCGAATCAATGGCCACGCCATTGATCGCAAGGAGCCATCCTCTATCGTACGCTTCCCTAAACGCTCACCGCCATTACAACAGCTACCGTCGCCCCTTCTTCTCCTCCTCTCCTTACTCTAAACCAATATCTTCACTGTCCTTCCCTTCTCGACCACTAAATCCCACCAAGGTAACACTGCAGAGTTTGTTCTTCGCCATTACGCTTTCTTCTTTTTCACAGAGCTCTTAAGCATTTTTTGCCTGACAGATGGCAGCGAGCAGCAGCGAAATTACAGAGGAAGTACCAGGGAAAACTGATGAAGGGGTTGAGAAGAATAAGAGAGTGTTTGTCGCTGGAGCAACTGGAAGTACTGGGAAGAGGATAGTCGAGCAGCTGCTATCCAGAGGGTTTCTAGTGAAAGCTGGAGTGAGGGATGTTGACAAAGCCCAGACCAGCCTTTCCAAGGACAACCCATCTCTTCAAATCGTATGCAAAATTCAATCCTCCACTTGCTCCAATTGAAGACAGTTTTTCTGTGTCAATTTTTTTTTATATAGAGAAGCCGTTTTGTGTTTACAGGTGAAAGCAGATGTTGCAGAGGGGTCTGCCAAGCTAGCAGAAGCCATAGGGGAAGACTCTGACGCTGTGATATGTGCCACTGGGTTTCGACCTGGTTGGGACCTTTTTGCTCCATGGAAGGTTAGTTGGCAGGTTTGGTGAAAATTTGAGGGTAGGTGTTGAAATATTGAGGGGGGAATGGGGAATTGTTGTTTTGGCAGGTTGATTATTATGGAACCATGAATCTAGTGGAGGCTTGTAGGAAACAAGGCGTGGAAAGGTTCATTCTGGTGAGCTCCATTTTGGTGAATGGAGCTGCAATGGGGCAGCTACTGAACCCAGCATATGTGTTCCTCAATGTATTTGGGTTGACATTGGTAGCCAAGCTTCAGGCTGAGAATTATATCAGGAAATCAGGGATTAACTACACCATAATCAGACCTGGTGGGTTGAAGAACGATCCCCCTTCAGGCAATCTAGTCATGGAACCAGAGGTAAGAACTTTGTGTAACTCTAAATGGGGGAGTTTGGATGCTTGAATGCTGAATTGGTGGAACTCGATTTGAGTTCCAATCTGATGGAAGGAATTCGTCACATTCATTCGTTTGGATGAATCGGAACATTTGATCGTAAATAGATAGAATCGTGGTACTCTGCCGAGCTCCAATTGTTTCATCTTCTTCTTTGAGACGTTCACTTGCTAGTTACTAATAGCTCTTCTTGTCTTGGTTGTTGCTTTAGGATACGCTTTACGAAGGATCAATATCCAGAGATGTGGTAGCAGAAGTTGCAGTCGAGGCATTGACACATACAGAGTCGTCGTACAAAGTTGTGGAAATTGTCTCTCGTGCAGATGCGCCTAAACGTTCATATGAGGATCTCTTTGGCTCCATCAAGTCAAAGTAGCTTGTAAATTGTAATAATACTCTTTGAAGAGTACAAAGTTCAACTTCGCCATTGGACTTTCGATCTTGTTTAGAGATTCATCTTTGTGGGTTCCTTTAGAATTGCAAGGAATTGGCATACATCGAAAGAAAGAAAGCGAGAAGTATAATGGCGTGCACAATCAGGGCCATGCATTTGCTCTTAACAGCAGCAACCATTGTGGAGACTAGTCCAGAACTTATAAGACTACTTACCTTTACTTTGCAGTCATCTCGAACTTGGTTAACCCTAAAACCTAACAGAACCCTTGAAGTGGTTAAAAGGAACGATTAACTTATATAAGAAATTTTTTTTAAAAATTTGTTAAGAAGGTTAATGATTCTCATAACCGAATTTTATGATTTCTTATGTTTTTTTACAGGATGTTTTCCTTTAGTTTTAATGATTTATTGTTATGTGACTGATTATAGATTTTTTTTTATAGAAAAGATAGCTTGTATTACCAAAAAATAAAGATCACAAACGATTACGAATGGAGCCAAACGCAAAAATCAAACCCCCCGATAAGAGTAGGATACAAAGAAAGGGCCTTCCTAGCCACCCTATGGGCTACCCTATTGTTATCCCTGCCTACAAATCGGAGCACATCCCCAGTCACATTGGCCAACAGCTCCTGGACCTCCCGCAACACTGCTCCCCCATAGCAATCCCAAGCGCACCCGGCCAAAAGCTTGTCGATGACGACCTTAGCATCCCCCTGGTAGCAGACATCGTGCAAACCCATCGACCGACACCACAAGATCGCCTCACGAATAGCCATCAACTCCACTAGCATTGGGTCCGTTAGATCAGCCAAACCCTTTCCCAGAGCCCTAACCACCACCCCATATGGACCCTGTAGGACAATTCCCACAGCAGAATGTGACGCCTCACGCACTGCTCCATCAAAGGAGCACACCCAAGACACACCCTGAGGAAACCGAAGTGGAGCTAACGGCGCCACCTGTCTCCGGCCTTGATGCCGATCCTCCTCTACACTCCTCATACGTTTCCATTCTTCCACCGGAGTTACCCACTGGTTCCGCAGGACCTCCCTTTGATATTGGCATCCCTCGAACACCACCCAATTGTGGGATTTCCACACCCGCCACAACAGGGAGACGAAACGCATAAGGACCCCCTCATCAGACACCGTCTCTATCATCCAGCGAACAAACAACCCAACATTCTCCTCTAGTAACCCAGCACGCACATCCTCTAGTCCCGAATCTGCCCACAAGTCCTTAGCCACAGGACAATGAAGAAACAAATGCTCCAAGGTTTCCACCTCATGCCAACAAACCGGACACCGCTCTAACACCTCAATATCTCAAGCAAGAAAGGCCTCCCTAGTCGGCAATATCCTGCTCATGGCCTGCCACATACAAAAACTTGAGCTTCGGCGGAATCCCAAGATTCCACAACTTCCCCCACAGGACTGAATCCATCCAGGATGGCTCACACTTCCCCCTCCACTGGCTCCTGTTCAACCGCATCGCCAAGTGGTACCCTGATTTAACCGTATACTTCCCCGTTCGGTCCTCATATCAGACCAGCTTATCGCGAACAGGTAAACTTGGGAGGACGATCGAGCCAAACAATCATCACACCACGTCCCTGTCTACTCTCCCATCAAACCGCCACCATAGCACCCTCCCATAGATGAGCTGACGGCAACACCATTTGAGGATTTGTGTGACACCCCGGAACCCAATTAGCTTTTGCAATCTCCACCTCCACCTCCTCCCCCGTACCAACCTGCCATCGCAGACCCGCTTTTAGTAGCTGAACCCCATGTAAGACGCTCTGCCACCCCCAAGACAGCCTAGACCACACTGTAGCCGCTAATAGAGTTCCGTTCGGGAAATACTTTTCCTTATAAATCCGAGCAAGCAAAGAGTCAGGGTCCTGGATAATCCGCCACCCTACTTTCGCGAGGAGAGCTTGATTAAATTGCTCAAACCGACGGAAGCCCAATCACCCTTCTTGCTTATTACGACACAATTTTCGCCACGACATCCAGTGAACCCTATCAATCGACCCACCCCACCAAAAGCGAGCCATATACTTATCAAGGCACCGACATAATGTAACAGGAAGCTTGAAACACGGCATGACATAGACCGGCAATGCTGCCGCCACCGATTTCAACAAAGTCTCCTTCGCCGCCCAGGACAAGTGCCTCTGCTTCCAACCTTTTAACTTTTGCAACAACTTTTCCTCCAAGAATCGGAATGTGACTGATTATAATCGAAAAATCGTTAAGCAAAACTCAAATTCAATAAGCCAAAAATCGTTTAATGCTCATAAGAGGTCTAGAGTAACAGGGTTGCCACTAGGAGAGTTGCATGTTGGCTATCTATGAGTACCATTAATTACAAGGATGCTATCTTCTAATAAATGTGAAGCTCTTGTAGATAAGATCACAACACGAGTTCAGTCGTAGCAGACTTGTGTGTTGAGTTATGCAGGAAGAATGTAGCTTATATCCTCTGTGATTACCAACATAATGCAGTACTGGATGACACTATTATTGTTAAAGGTTTTAAAAGAGGTTGAACTTAACAAATTTCCTATGAGGGTTTGGAGGTCTGGAGAAGAGAAGTAGAACTTTGGTAGCTTGGGAAAAGGTTGTCTTGCCGAAGACAGAAGGTGAGTTGGAGATCCGGGATTTCAAAACTAGAGATAAAGTTTGTGCAATGTGTCATCTATGGAATCTACTAGCAGAGAAGGGCTCTTTATGGGTAGCGTGGATCAAGAAATACAAGATTAAGAATAAATCCATCTGGAGTTTGTCACAACTATTTTCAGCTTCCTAGATATGGAGTCGCATTATGAAATGCAGAGAGTTCCCAACAACATATGTCTAATGATGGCTCTTCCTCGACTTAGGAAGGTAAAGTATTACCTCGCTCTTTCGTTAAGCTTGTCTAGAATTCCATTAATGCCTCTAGCCCTATTGTTGATTGGTGTAGTACTATATGGGGCAAGCCTTTCATCCCTAAGCACAGTTTAATAGCATGGTCGATTATCTTGGATATTCACAAAATATAAGATTGTTGGTTGTGAGAGATAAATCAGACTTTGGGCCGCTGTTTCACCCATCATCAAGTAAAATAGATGGGTTGCTATATTTTAATTGGCTAGAAGAATGGATAAGAGAGAGAGAGAGAGAGAGAGAGAACCCGTTTGATCATAAGGCTACGTTTTGGTCAGTTTTCATTTGCATGCGAGAAAGCGAATCCTCATAGTAGCAGTGAAGAACATCACGAACCAAAGATCGAACATCTCTTCACTTGCCATTGTTGGAGTGACAATATGGCATGTACTCTTTGTACAGGTGGGGAGGAGTTGAGAAATAACCTATTTAGTGCATATTCATACAACAATTTTGTGCTCTACACTGTGTTGAGGAAATTCTTCCCAGTTCCTACAACTTTGGCATGGCCAGAACACCTCCAGTGGGCTGTTTAGACTTGGAGACAATATCAAAATTGCAGACAATTATGGCTATTGACATTAAGCTATTTATGACATGAAAGATGTAAGAGGGTTTATGACAAAAACTCCATTTGCACCAGGGCAACTTGCAAAGAGAATATTTACTAAAGTTCAATGGTTTTCTACGAACAACCCGATAATCTAGGCTACAGTATAGAGATATACATTATATGCAGGGATAAATTATGATGGTTATTAGTTTTTTAGTATCCATCGTGGCTACCTACATCTCTACTCTTCATTCTCGGTATTTTTAAATCAACCGTCATGATTAATTACTTTTGAAAAAATAATAATGATCATACTGGATTACTATCCATAAAATATGACTTTCTTTATATTCTCCCAGCCCCTAAATAATTATCCCCAATCCTAACAATCTACCCCGTCTGCCTCCTTTAACCATCTCTTTTCCCGACGAGATACTCACCGCAGGCCACAATCCCTCCCCCTCTCCTTCTCTCCTCCACTTCACACCCCACCTACCCTACCGCCTCCTCACTCCATGCCTCTCTCTCTCTCTCTCTCTCTCACCCTTCTCTCTCACACTCTCTCTTCCTCACCCTTCTCTCTCTCACACACACACACTACCCAACGAGGATGTGTTGCAGTGATATGCCGGTGGTGCTGTGGCAGGGAGGAGGAGCCGATAACCATTAGCTGCACTCCAGATCTGTTTTTTCGTATGGGTACGTATTTTTTCAGATTGGTATTTATTTTCGTAGTATTATTATTATTTTTTTACATTGGTATTGATTATCATGCAATGGTATTGCTGTTTTTTGAAACGGTAGTGATTTTTTCGTAGTACTTGTGTTTTTTCGCATTGGTTTTATTTTTTTGCTTTGGTATTGATTATCATGTAATGGTGTTGATTTGCATGTATTGGTGTTGATTAAATCTGCAATGATATTGGTGTTTTGTGCAATGGTAGTGTTTTTATTTCTCGAATGGCATTGGGGGTCGTTCGGATGAGAGATTTCAGTGGGATTTGTGGACAATCTCTCATTATGCAGGATTTTAATAGAATAACTCGTTTGAAGAAATGAGAGATTGTGAATATGAGAGATTTCAAAATTCCTCAAATGCAGGTTTTAGAAATAGCTGATGACCATCAGCTATTTCGAAATCCCTCGCTTCAATTTTATTTTTTTCAAATTTATCCCTATTTTATTTTGTTCTTTGTCTTCATTAATAAAAGAACCCAATCCATCCCTAACCAAACTCCCCAGTCGTCATCTTCCTACTCCGTCACCCACCCCTCCGCCGCTCTTCCCAAACCCCACCGCGAGCCATGCTCACACAAATTCATCGACTGTTTTAGAGTAACGACGACGACAGTTAGAGGGGGCTGGCGATTTCAAAAGAACGAATGCGACATAGATCTTCCTCCTCAAGCCAGATCTCAGAAGAGTGGTGACGACGTCGATGATGGGTAATTGACGAAACTGCCAGCCTATCTCCAACAACGAACAGTGAGTGATGCTTCTCCCACCTTCCTCTTTCTGGATTCTTAGGCGCTCTCTCCTAGGGGTGGGCAAACGGTTCGGTAAACCCGAACCGAAACCAAATTAAACCAAACCGAAACCGAATTAATGCTATTCGGTTCGGAAGGAAAATATGGATAGTTCGGAAATAAGGGTTCTTTCAACCGAACCAAATTTCCGAATTTCCGACCGAAAAACCGATATACTATAATTGCAAGCTCCAAATGGTGGATTTTTATGTTTGTAGTTGTTTTTAGACTTAAATATTTGAAATGTTTTATGACTTATGTGTTGAAAAGTTTGGTTTTATCATTGATGATGCATATAATTGATATTTATTGTTTATATTAGGGTGAAAAATAATTTAAAAATGAGAAAATACAAGTAGCTTCATAAATTCGGTTTTGTGTGAAAAACCAAACCGAACCGAATTATAGTTCGGTTTAAACCGACCAAACCGAATTATAATTCGGTTCAGTCGGTTTGAGGTTTGGGAGAATTCGGGGATCCGGTATTCATAATTTCGGTTCGGTCGAAACCGGACCGACCGAATGCCCACCCCTACTCTCTCCCTCGACGTCGTTGCTGCTGATGTCGTCGCTGAGACGGTGGCGGAAGAGGAGAAGAATGACGAGGTCGAGTGCTAACTAATATTTGTTAATAGGATACGATTTCCCCCTTATATAGTGAGATTGTTAATAGGGTATGGTTTTAATTTCAATGGGTATGAGGAGGTGGAAGTGAATCGGTGGCAGTTGTGGTTGCAATTGGAAGCGTTCACCCGCCGTCGGGAACAGAGGAAGAGGCTTTTGAAGTGAGAACCATAACTTTTTTCTGTTTATCCAGCAGATTTTTCTTCAGCTTTCGCCATTCGTTTCTTGGTTTATGGTCGTCGTTACGGTTGCCTACATTTCACCGGCGCCAGCGCCATTTCATCTCCTTCCTCGCCTCCGTCACCATCAATTACCAACGTACAAACGAAGATTCAAGTAGCTTTTGGTTGAAGAAGAAGAAAATTTATGGATTTCCTCATCCATGAACATATTGTTGTTGTTGAAGTTAACAAAGAAGTTGAGGAACATATATGGGGGCAAAATCGTATTTATGCTTTCTCTATTAAAATACATTGTTAGTTTCTAAACGAGTCAATTTAAACAATCATGCGTTTGAATTTCCTGGTATTCTAAATGAGTGATTTAGAGCCAAATCTCTCAAATTAAAAACTCTTATCCAAACCACACCTTGTTGTTTTGTGCAATGGTAGTGGTAGTGTTTTTTAATAGATTGGTAGATGTTGTACTTGGAGTCTGGAGATGGGGGATTGTAGTTCGCACCCCTCGAGCTTAATGCAAAGTTTTTATTAACCATACAAAATATTTAAATGATCAACAGTTGGAGATGTTTATACAACTGAGTAATATTAGTCCCTAGCCTCTCATTAGCGAAAAAGAAAAATTAAGAGAGACAATCAAATTACATAAAAGCTTAGATTCTACTCAAAGAAGGGGACTTTACTATGATCATGCTCCGATTAGTTTCAGACCCGTTAGATCTCCTTGTTCGTTGAATTAAAAAAAATTGACAGTCTGAAAATCAAATGATCCAACAGGTTAAATATGAGAATATACAAAAGTCGGGATGAGTCAGAGTGATAACCCTTTTTAGGGGTTGTCAGTTTTGACAACATCTTTAAGTACCATTGAATTCATTATCTTTTTTCTTTTTTTGTAAATTGGTGGATGAGATTGGGTTGAGGATATTTGTGAATGAAAATTTGTATCACATCATACTGCTAGCAATGTGATTAATCCCCTTCAATATATTCCCCCAAATCCTAATTGTTCTATCTCTCTCTTCAATACAACCGCCTCCTCTTCTCATCCTCAACACTTCACTGTCGCCAGAGCCATCTCCTCCAACACCTCTCCCCCCACCTCCTCAACCCTTCACCTCCGCCCTCCCCTTAAGTCGTTGTCGCTTTCCTTCTGAATCCTTCATCGTCAGTGCCGCTTTCTCTCCTCCTCCTCAACCCTTCCTCAGCGAGATCGCCCGACAACCGCCATCTTCCTCGCCAAGATCCCTTCGTCCAACTCACCCCCACCTCTTCTTCTTCCGGTGAGTGCTTGCCGCTACTGTCGCGTGCTCGCCGCCATTGTCACCCGCTCGTCATTGCTTGTTGTCGACCTTCCTTTTTGCTCGTCACTTGCCTTCCAGATCTAGTTTTTTGTTTTGTTTTTTCGGTGTAGTGATATTTTTCATTCTAGTAGTAATGTTATCGATGTAGTGGCAGTGATTCACAGTTTAGTGGCAGTATTTTTAGTCTAGTGGCAATGTTATCGATGTAGTAGTACTCCTATTAGTGTAGTGATATTGTTATCGATACCGGTGTACTGATATTGTTTTCTTATCCAGTAGTAACTTTATCCATTATCAATATAATGATTATCTTTTTAGTGTAGAGGTACACTTTTTAATGTAGTGGTACTAATATTGGTATAGTGGTAGTTTAGTAGTATTGTTACCGGTGTAGTGCTACAATTATTGGTATCTGCGTACTGATATTGTTTTATGATATAGTGGTAATGTTATAAGTCTAGTTATAATCTTTTTAGTGTAGTGGTACACTTTTTAATGTAGGGTTAATGATTTCCTTGTAGTGCTATTTTTTTAGGTGGTCAGAGGGAGTCTTCTGGCGAGATTTGTCGGAGGAAGTCTGCCGGTAAGAGAAAGGCATAAGTTCAAAAGAGAAATGATTTAGGAGAGAGAAATGTAATTCATATGACTTGGGAGAGAGAAATGTAAGTTTGAGTTGATAGTGGTTGTAATTAATATGACTTGAAAGAGATAAATGTAATTTCGAAGTTGTAATTAATAACATTTGAAATTGAGTTTGAATTGGTGTTGATTGTAATTAATATGATTTGGAATAGAGAAATGTAATTCCCAAGACGCATTCAATAGCATTTGTTAGTTTCAAAAAGTATAATATAATATAATATAATTAATTGATATTTTGTTGACATAGTTGTCATTATCACATCCAGAACTCCAAAATTTCTCCTTAATAAATAGTCGTCGGTTAAAAAAGATCAAAAGTCATGGAAGGATCAATTAATAAAAGGCTCTTTGGCTTGATTCGTTCTATCTTTTCTACCAGAATATTTGTTTTTATTTCAGCTCCTTTAGTTACTCTACCCCGCTTCTTCTACGTAATATAAATACACTCACATCTCATGGGAACTTGAGAAGACAACGGAGAGCTCAGACAAGAAACATGAGAAAAGCTCAACTCGGAAGACAAAATCCAAGTTAGAAGTGCTCTTTTCCCTTAGGAATGGCTGAAGAAGCTTATGGCTGGTGGTTGTTCAAGGTCAAATCCCCCCGCTTATTTAAGATCATTTGGGATGACCCAATTAGCACTGGAAAGCTGGTAGCCTTCTTCATTTGCGCAACCTTTGCTCTGCATTTCGTACGTTTTTACCAAAATCAGGTTCCCTTTATGGTTTATTGCATTCTCCCTGTTTGTGGAATTGTCTCAATGAGCTCGTTGTTGCTCTTGAACCCCCTCTTCTTTTCTCAAAGTATTTTCTTTTGTTTCGTATATTGCAGATCCTTCCAAAGGTGTTTGCAGCAGAGCATGGAACTCAAATCCCAAACAAAGTACTCCTCAAGCTCCCAGGTGGAGCAGAATGGCCAGTCAAAGTGCAGAAGTGGCGACGAGATCTCTTTATAAGAGGGTTGGAAAGAGTTTGCCATGTTCTACTCACTAGCGCAACACTACTTTATGGTCTTTGAGTATGATAGCGACGACAATTTTCGTGTTCTCATATTTGATATGATTGCCATAGAGATTAAGTATCCTGTGGAGAAAGCTTACGTAGATGTTGATTCAGAAAGTGAAACTGATGATGCTCCTAATGAAACTCTGAATGATCACTTCTTCTCCCTAAAAGCAAGAGGCAAACGACCTTTCAGATCTCCACAGCCCCATAAGCTGAAAAGAAGGAGAAATGAATCCGGAAGAACTGCGAGAAGCTCTGAAGCAAAATATCTAGTCGCGGTACCACTTCTTCAAGTATGCATGAGCGAAGGAAAAGGGCTATGGACAGTGATCATCCTTCTCAAGGAGAGGTCTCTGGATCTTTCCTCTGATATCAATGTCACTCTTAAGTTTTCTTTGAAAGTTAACTATTTGGGTTTCCAAAAAAAATTTACTCAGATAACCAAACTTGGAAAAGAAACAAGACAATTCGGCGGAGTGGATCATTGAAAGGAGCCGAGAAAGCTAGTGCTCTTGCTAGAGCTGAAGCTTCTTTCCGAACTAAAAACCCTTTCTTTATGATTGTCATGCAACCCACATATGTTTCTGTGGAATGAGCATGGTAACTAGGCTTCCTAACTAAGCTCCATTTTTAGGGATAGTGGAGTCTGATTTGTGATGTGATGAGTTTATTTCAGCTGCTCCATTTGTTTATACTAACTAATGTAGCCTTTTATTCTTCTTGGAATGGATAGAACCTGCCACACAACTTTTTTCAGAGCCAGTTGGAAGGGATGCTTAGAGGTATTATTATCCTCCAAGTTTCTTATGGAAGAACCTGGAATGTTGAGTACCATGCCACGAAAACCAATCGTAGGAAGAAAAAAAGCCACCTTTGTGACCAAATCTTGGGTTCCATTTGCAAAAGATAGCAGGTTGAAGGTTGGCGATGTTTGTGCATTTGAGCTGGTGAAACGTGGCTTTGTGCCTGTATTCAATGTGGTCATTTTCCCGGCCGTCAAAGATGCAAATCATCGCTACTCATCTGCTAATGGGTCTAGTAATGGAATGAAGTCAATGTATCCCGGAAGAGCTGGATATGGTAGCTCAAGATCAAGTGGCCGCGCTGGCAATAGTGATGCGTGCTACAAATAATTTCACCAGTTTCCATTCTTAGTTTTGACTATATGAAATCACCGATAACATCTCTTTTACCTTTTGTTGTTGAATCCAGGTGCTTCAAAGGCTGCATACGCCTTTACCTCCAAGCAACCATTCTTCAAAAAAGCTGTAGATCATAGTCATATAGACATGGGCCAGGCGGTACGTTCGCCATTCAATGATACCAAATCATTTGTCTTAATTCATGTTACTCATTTCCTTAATCTCTTCTTTGAAATGGTGGGTTACAGGCAATACCTAGCACATTTCATGAGCATATAAAGGAACTTTACGATCAAGTGGAGTTAAGGGGTGCTGGAGGCAAATGCTTGAGAGTAAGGATACAAAGATGTTTGCTTAAAACCGGCAGGCATGCGAGGTTTCTAGGTAGTGGTTGGAAAGCATTTGCAGGAGGGAATTCTCTGAAAGTTGGAGATGTCTGTGTATATGAGTTTGTTAACCTTGAATACGAGGATTCCAAAAAAGCGGGTGATTGTGCTAAATGTTAACCTTGAGAAACGAAGAAACGCATGTGAAATGAACTGCTTGACCCGATTGAATCCGAAAGAAGGTAGACAAGTAGGAAATTTTAGTTGTTGGGCTTAAAGCCCAATTCTCTTCCGGGTTAAATCCGCTAACGCAAAGATCCCGTTCTTTTTCAACCCGACAGCGTTTTAACACGATTTCTATAGTTCACCAATCTTCAGCTGAGCTTCCTTGTCTTCCTTTGTAATCTGCAAAACATCTACATAAACATAGACAGGTTACAGAACAAATAGAAAACGCAATAAAAACGAAATGACACAATGATTTTTACGTGGTTTCCGATACTGAGAAATCAGTATTGACTAGTCCACAACCAAAGGTACTCTGATTGAGTCCTTTGACGCTATACTATGACAGTATGTTTCGGATTACAGAGTACACGATCAATCTCGCAGTGACTCCCCGTCACTTGATCAGAATCCCCTGTTAGAACTTAGCTCCCTACCAAGATCAAACCTGATAATCACACAAGCTCTCTCCATCACAGCTCTCTTCCTTTCTTTCTCAAACTCAGACAATATTCGCTATCTCTGCTTTTGAAAATTATTCTCGAAAGGATTATCTATACTACCCCAATATCCTTTCTTTTATATCCTACCACTGCCAACCGTTGCTTGCAGATTTGGAGAATCAATTTGTCTTGTTGTTTTACCGTGATTTGTTCATTTTTCAAGGCTTTCCTCTTTTGCTCCAAAGACTACTGTTGCATGCCTTCTTTTCTCAATTTCTCAGTGCCAGTTTACCAAGATTCACCCAACAAACTCCCACTAAGCTTGTCATTGGCTCTTCTCTTCAATTGTATTACCCTGCACACATTCAACACACGATTGGTGAAGCCTGTTCTATAACCTGAGAAATTTACATAGCCTTGATCACATGAAGCAGATATCAGAGATAATCCTTTTATTCACTTATTAGTTAATTAAACACTTTTAAAACATAACAACAATGAAACCTTAACACCCAATGAACCCTACATATAACCCTTACGATTCACTTACTACTGAAAACTAGGACGCTACCCTTGCGTTTAATCCCTAATGCTCCTATAATGGATACTCTGGTGGAGACTCATACTCAGAGATACCATCGACATCACCAAACTCTGAATCAGAACTAATCGGGTCATTAATTGCTCCATATTCATACACAAACTTAGGCCACATCAGATCCTCTCTTCTAAGTGAGTCCAGAGTAGTAGTCTGCTTCCTTCCACTTGATGACTCTCGCTTGATTACCGTAACAACAACATCTACGAGGGCATCAACCAGTCTTCCAGAAGCATGTGAGTTGTGACGCAGGACTAACCATGATCCCCCCTGAGCCAGTGATAGGCTTACGAGGGCCTATAAGTGCATCCAACTGAGCGAAAACATGCTTGGATGAAGATCGTCCAGACATTGCACATATGGACCTTGTCACGCAATTCGATTCCCAGCTTATAGAGTAGTTTGGTGATCTGTGTCCCAAAAGTCAGAGGACCACTAAAGTACTCCATCCCAAAGCGAATCGGGTGATGAAACATGAGCGAGACATAGCTAATGGGTTGGCCAGATCTAGTGTTAGAATTAACCCAGAGATTAGAAGAATGAAGGATATCGGTACTAAAGATATCATGAGGAAGTAAACTTTAAATAATAAAGAAATTCAGAACCTTGAGATCATAAGGTAATCGACCAGAAGTAAGACAAGAGGGAAAAAATTGAGCTATATCACGAGTATGGGACTCCAGAGCAGCATCAAAGTCGAAACCCAGCTCACCGAACTCACTATTTATCCTAGCGCGAAGTCCTGAATGAGGAAGATCAAGAGTCGTCGCCAACAACTCATGTGTGACTGTGATTTCATAGTTGAAAACTACAGTCGTGAAGAAGGCTGGATCAGGACCAGGACCACGTTTGATGTTGACATAAAACATACAAACAGCTTCTTGACAGTAGCTGAACCACATATTTTCAACCAAAGAACTCCAACCAAGGCCTTGAAGAAGAGCTGGAATATTCATATCATATTTTGAAAAGCCAGAGGGCTGAATGGAGAAGGAGGGATAGGACGATCATGGAACCGTTGAAGATATCTGGAGTAAGCAGCAACGTTGTTAAACCCTTTATTGTTGAAGACAACATAGGGATGCAATTGAGAGCATTGTTTGGGGCCATGTCTGAGATACGATTAAGAGATATGTGTAGCTGAGGAATGATATACGAAACCCTAGAGGCTCCTAAGGATTTATAGAAGAGATGTACCCTAGAGCGACCCGAGGAAGAGAGACAAGGAAAGTGGAGATGGAAGTCGGGTAGTCATGAATCCTAAGAAATGGTAAGTGAATATTCAGAGAATCAGGACTCAAGAGGATGCGATTGCATCAAGGAAAAATAAGTCAAGTTCATTGCAAATGGATAGAAACTTTTATAGTCCCAAGAGGCTTAGTAAAGATATCCACCCATTGCATGTCTCTACTTACAAATTCTAATTGAATCTTTCCATCTTGAACCAGATCACGAATAAAGTGATATCGCACCTCACTATGGTTGGTACGTGAATGTTGGATGAGATTTTTTGTCATATTTATGGCACTAATATTATCAAAGAGGATGGAGGGAGAACATATATCTAGACCAAAGTCTTGGAGTTAGTATTTTAACCAGAGTAGTTGTGTACAGCTTAGTCCTGTAGCTATGTATTCTGCTTCGGCAATTGATAGCGCAACAGAACTCTGCTTCTTGCTAGCCCACGAAATTAAGGAAGTTCCTAGGAAGTGACATGTACCAGAGGTACATTTTCGATCGATCAATCACACACCCAAAATAGTTAGAGTCATTATAGTTAAGAAGTTTAGATTCTCTAGAGTACCACAACCCCAAGTGTGTTGTACCAGAAAGATAACAAAAAATTTGTTTCACTGCTGTCAAATGACTCACTTTGGGATAACTTTGGAAGTGAGCACAAACACATACACTATATACGATGTCAGGCCTACTAGCTATTAGATATAATAGAGAACCAATCATTCCACGATACATCATATCATCTACTGGTACTCCAGATTCATCTTTTGTTATTTTTGTTGTTGAGCCCATTGGAGTTTGTGCATATTTAAGTTTTTTTAGATCAAACTTGTCCAACATGTTTAAGAGATATTTTGTTTGACTAATGAACGTTCCTTTCTCAGTCTGTTGAACTTCTAAACCAAGGAAATGTTTAATTCTCCCATAAGACTCATTTCAACCTACCCTTTCATAGTTGTCTCGAATTCCTTACAGGATATCCTAACTAGAGGATCCAAAAATAATGTCATCTGCATATACCTGGACTAAAATTGTATGACCTTTTACATTCTTTGTGAACAATATTTTATCCATTGAGCCTCTGTGAAAACCATCATTGATTAGAAATGTACTTAATTTGTCATACCAGGCTCGTGGAGCTTGTTTTAAACCATACAAAGCTTTATTTAGTTTATAGACATGATTTGGATATTTGTGATTTTCAAATCCTGGTGGTTGTGCCACATAGACTTCTTATTTTAACTCACCATTTAAGAATGCACTTTTAACGTCCATTTGAAACAATTTAAGACCTTTTGAAGAGCAAAAGCACACAGTAGTCGAATGGCTTCTAGTCTAGTTACTCGGGCAAAAGACTCATCGAAATCTATTCCTTCTTCTTGACTATACCCTTGAGCAAGAAGTCTATATTTGATTCTAGTTATCCCCTATATCATCAGTTTTATTCCTATAAAAACACTTAGTTCCAATTACAGGTTTATCTTCTGGTTTTGGTACAAGATCCCAAACGTTTAGTCTTTCAAAATCTCCTAGTTCATCTTGCATAGATGTTATCCAGAGCTCATTATCTAAAGCTTTCTGTATATTCCTCCATCCCAAGTCCTAGGCTCAATCAATGATACAAAGGCAGTATGTACAACAGACATTTTAGACCTAGTAATCATACCTTGATTTATGTCGCCTAGGACTTGGGATGGAGGATGCCTCTTTTGTATATGTGGAGGTGCTTGCACTTGACGTTCCTCATCCTTTTCTTCTTCTTCGTTTACCTCAGTTGACTCATCTTACTTTTCTGACGTCTCTTGAGTAGTAGCAGAAGTATGTCCTAGTCTTAGATCGTCATATTCATCGATTATATCTACACACTTACTCGAAGACTCATCAAATACAACATTTATGGACTCTTCAACCTTGAGAGTCCGTTTATTGTAAATCTTGTAAGCCCTACTGTTTGCTGAATATCCTAGGAAAAATTGATTCATCTGATCTAGAATCAAACTTCCCTAGATTATCTTTGGTATCAAGCACAAAACACCTACATCCAAAAGGATGAAAATACCCCAAATTTGGTTTTCTACCTTTCCATAATTCATAGAGACTTTTATTCATTTTAGACCTGATCAAAGCACGATTTATAGTATAGCAGCCTGTGTTTATAGCTTCTGCCCAGAAGTGCTTGGGAAGACCATAGTCATTTAGCATTGTTATGGCAATATCTATTAATGTCCTATTCTTTCTTTCTACGACACCATTCTGTTGGGGTGTTCTAGGAGCAGAGAAATTGTAAGAAATTCCAGCCTTTTCACAAAAATGTTCAAATTTTGCCGATATGAATTCTCCACCATGATCGCACCTAATGCTTACAGCCTTAGTTTGTTTTTCATGTTCAATTCGTCTGACCATATTTTGAAGTTCTTATAAGCTTCACTTTTGTTTGCCAAGAATAGTACCCATGTAAGCCCGGAGAAATCGTCTACTATTACAAATGCATAAGATTTTCATCCTAAGCTCATGACATTGCTTGGTACAAACAGATAAAGATGCAACAATTCCAATGGCTTCGATGTCGAGATGACTTGTTTACTTTAAATGAAGATCTAACTTGTTTTCCTCTAGTTACTAAGTTCAAACCAACTAGTTTTGATAAGGTACCTACACTAAAATATCCTAGTCTTCTATGCCATTCTAGCTGGTCATTTTTATCGACAGACAGCAGGCACATTTCATCAAACATATTTTTATCACTTAAGTTTATACAAAACAGTTTTCCTTTTCTCTTTCCAGAGAACATAATTGATCTAATTTCGATGTTTTCAACATAACAACCATTTGGTTCGAACACTACTTTGTTTGACTCTCCACACATTTGACTTATCGAGAACATATTGTGTTTTAGTCCATCTACAAGCATTACATTTTTTATTTTTGGTGCAATTCCTACTTCCCCTTTACCAAGAATATCAGTACTATAGTTATCACCAAAGTAAACTTTACCTTTCTTCCCTTTAATCAATTTTTTAAGAGCTTTTCATTGCTAGTCATGTGGTGTGAGCATCCACTATCCAGAATCCACTTGTTGTCTTTCATGCTCACTTGGAAGCAGACCTAATTAAACAATAATTCTTATTTTGTCTTTGGTAACCACACCAATCTAGGACCTTCAACTTTCAATCTTAGATCTATGCATCCATAACTCATATGCCCAGTTTTATGACATGTAAAACATACTATGGACTTCAATCTAGCTTCTTTAGCTATTCTCTTTTTACAATTAGCAATGTAGTGTCCTTTCATATGACAGTAAAAGCACTCTACATTATCTAGATCATGATTGTGTATTTTATAATTTGTTCTTCTGGTTTAACACATACATTCTTCTTTACTATTTCACACATTTTCTTATACTCAACTAACTTGCTTTCTAGCTCATCATTTCTTTTTAAAGCTTCATTCATTTGTGTTTCTACACTTAGCTTTTCGTCCTTTAGCTTACTATACTGCTCGGTTAATTGTTCAAATTTTAGCTTAAGTTTTGAATGCTTAACTTTTACATTCTCAAATTCTATCTGTATGTTTCTGATAGTTTCATTTATTTGATATTTTCACTATCAGATTCAGAATAGTAGTTTAGTGATCTTACCCGAGACGATTGGCATTCATCATCCCTTTCTCCATTTGCCATATAGGCTTCTTGTCTCCTGCTAGTATCTCCCTCTTCATCATCGTCCTCACTGCAACTTAGGTAGCAACATAAGCCTTTTCTCGTTTCATTTGTGGACATTCAACTTTTATATGTCCACTTCTTCCACACTTAAAGCATCATGCTTAAGAAGCACTATTCTCATTTCCATTTGTTTCCTTCCTGAATCTTGAGCTCTGTTGAGATTGCCTGAATTGATCTTTGTTTGAGTTAGCTTCCTTTGATCGCAATCTCAGCAGTTTAGCCACATGCTTACTTAACATGGCGAACTCATCATCCTCCATATTATCAAACTCGTCTTCTTGTTTAGAAACTTTAAACGCTATATCCCGTTTGCTTTTCTTGGTTCGTCACTTTCTTCCATTCTCAGCTTATCCTCGTGAGTGACTAGGGATCCCATCAGTTCGTCTAGACTTAGTTTAGTTAAGTCCTTAGATTCTTCTATCGCAATGTACTTTCGGTGTCCACTTCTTAGGCAGAGCCCAGAGTACCTTCATGACCAGATCAGCACTTGTATATTCCACTTCCAAATTCCTCAAACTATTGACTATTATTGTGAACCTATCATGCATCTCCTTGATTGACTCATCTGGTTTCATCACAGAGGTTTCGAATTCTTGCTTGAGGCTATTTATTCGGGATATTTTGACATGAGATGTACTAATGTAGTCAAAATCTCGCTTTAAAACTTAAAAATTTACGCTTTTACCTTTTTAGGTCACCAAAACGGTTCTACGTAGAAGCGTGATTTTCCTTTGGCAAAATTAGTCAAAATCTACGCTTTAAAGGTTAAAAGCTTACGATTTTATGCTTCCAGGTTGCTCAACCGCTTCTAGGTAGAATCGCACTTTTGACTGCATTAAGATGTACCTTCTTGAGAAATCTGTAATTTGTCCCAGCTTTCTTTTGCTGTCTTGCATCCAGAAACGCGATGATATTCTTCTGGTCCTAATGCGCAGTACATCAAGTTTGTTGCCTTTGAATTTAATTGAAAATTCTTCTTATCCTCATCGGTCC